TCTCTACACATAAATACTGGGGAAGACTGAGAAAACAGGAGGAACCAATGGAGAGGGTTCTCTGAAAACAGCTCAAAGTGACTGTGAAACCAACTCCTACAGAGCAAATTTTGATGGCAGAATACCGGATTTGGTGAATATCATCTGGCAAGAACACCTTGCACTTCTTTTTGAAGTGAGGCTTCCCAATTTTCCATTTCCCATTGCTTCTTACCCTTTTAAAATTTTGGCTGTTTCTCTGATTTCTCTTATTGATGTCTCTAGAGTAGGCCATTGTTAGAATAGAAATATTGCCAATGTACCTGTCAAAGAAGTTATCATTTCCTAACTCTCCAATTAATTCAGGAGAGTAGGGGAGACAGAGGCCACTAGAGCAGGAGGGGAACTGAGCAGGCCGGGAGCTAAGATAGAGGTAACTGAGTGGAAGGAGAAAGCAGAATAGGTTGACTGACAGCAGAATGTCCTCTGGGAAGCTTGTGTTCCATCTTTCATTCACTGGCTTCAGGCCCTAGTTTCTAACCTGAACAAATTCTCTCCAAATGGAGTTAAATCACTAAATACACTCTCTGGCGCAGGCTTTTCTTTTCAGTAGTGTCTCTGCATTAGCAAACTAACCCATGACCTATGTTATTAGATAAGTCAGAGAAAAATATCTGGTCTGGGAGTTGTCATGAAGCTCTTCATCCCAGAGGGTTTACTTTGAAGGGTAGTTTGGGCTTGAGCAGACTGGGAGGAGGGACAAGGGCATTTCAGGGCTCTTAGACCAATGAAGAAGCCTGGAGAGGGCAGAACTTGCTCTCAGCATCAGCAAGTAGACCGTCTGACTGATTCATAAGAAGAACACTAGGTAAGGCTGGAAAGCTAGGTTTGTTTTTTAGCAGTAAGGTCAACTTCAGGTTTGAAAACAACTGTTTTTCTTTTTAAAAAATGAGCCCCTGTTGTCTTCCAGCCTTAGCCCCACAAAGAAGATAGGGAGGAAGAACCCAATGAAAAAACGTTCCTTGGCCGGGCGCGGTGGCTCACGCCTGTAATCCCAGCACTTTGGCAGGCCGAGGTGGGTGGTGGATCACGAGGTCAAGAGGTTGAGACCATCCTGGTCAACATGGTGAAACCCCGTCTCTACTAAAAATACAAAAAATTAGCTGGGCATGGTGGCGCATGCCTGTAATCCCAGCTACTCAGGAGGCTGAGGCAGGAGAATTGCCTGAACCCAGGAGGCGGAGGTTGCGGTCAGGAGGCGGAGGTTGCCGTGAGCCGAGATCGCGCCATTGCACTCCAGCCTGGGTAACAAGAGCGAAACTCCGTCTCAAAAAAAAAAAAAAAAAAAAAAGGGCATTCCTTAAGGAAACAGAAAATACTTAGGAGAGAGAATAATTTAAACTCCAATATACATTAAAAACACACAAATCAGACTAATTGAAAGTGTGGGCATCAGTTCCTGGGGAGAGAATGCAGGGGGACTCCGATAGAAAGAGGAGAGAGCCTGTGGACCCAGGGAGGGCAGCCTTAGGAGGAGGCCCTGGAAATTCTTGTTCTCCAGGATTCACAACAGACCTGGGTTCCTCAGTCTAATGGTGTCAGGTGATGAGAGTGGAGAAGGGGAAGGAGAGGAGAGGAGAGAATATAGAAACACCAGATATAGAATCCTGGACATATTTCACATTTAGCTTAGATTTGAATTCCCAAGAACCCAGACCTCTGAGATCACCCTCTCAACTAAAGCCCCCCAACCTGACTCCATTCTCCCTCACTAGGACCGTCAGCACCTTCCACTCCGTAGATTCCTGGCCATTGGACTCCATGGATCTTATTGCAACAAATAGATACCTCATAGACTCAGTCTCAGGGAAACAAACAAAACCTAAAATCAAAAGAAAAGGCAGGCTCTTCCTTTCATGCTTGTTGCCTTAGTTTTATTCTAATTCCCCTTAGTTTGTAGGCCAGAAAATGGACTAAAATTTGTGATTTGGGCTATTGGAAAATATATTGTCTGATAAAGAACTTACATCCAGAAAATATTTAGAACTTTTACCAATCTACAATCAAAAGTTAATTAACTTAGTTTTTTAAAAAGGGCAAAAGACTTAAAAAGACATTTTACAAAAAAGTAGATATACAAATGGTTAATAAGCATTTGAAAATGTCACCATCGTGAGTCATCAGGAAAATACGACTTAAAACCATAATGAGATAGTAGTTCATACCCACCAGCATGGCTAAAATTAAATAGAACGATAATGTCAAATGTTGGTGGGGATGTAGAGTAATCGGAACTTGAATACATTGCTACTGGGAATGTCAAATATTACAATCATTTTGAGAAACTCTGATGGTTCCCTTATAAAGTTAAACATACACCTACCCTATGACCTATATATAATTCCACCCCTAGTTATTATGCAAGAGCAATGAAAACCTATGTTCACAGAAAGACATGTATAAGAACTTTCACATCAACCTTATTCATATTAGCCAAACACTAGAAACAACCCAAGAGTTCATTAGCAGGAGAGTGGATAAACAAATTGTGCCATATCTATACAATGGTACTCTACTCAGCCATAGCAAGGAATGAACTACTGGTACACACAGCAACATGGATGAATGTTGATACAACGTGTTGAACAAAAGAAGCCAGAAGTTGAAAAACAATATTCTGTATCGTTTCATTCATATGAAATTTAAGAATAGGCAAAACTACATCTATGATAATAGAAATCAGAAAGTGGTACTTAGTTGTGGGTTGAGGAGGGGAGGAATGGATACATGTAGGCTCCCTAGGGTGATGGAAAGGCTCTATAGTTTATTTTTGGCGATGACTACATGGGTGCATAAAATTGTCAAGACTCAGAACTGAATGCTTAAAATATGTGTATTTTATATTTAAATTATGCTTTAGTTTTTAAAATACAGTAACGAAAAAGATATTTACAGGCCTGGTTCTATAAAAGCCTATTTATATTTTAAATTATGCTTTTTTTTTTTTTTTTTAAGAAACAAGGTCTCTGTCACCCAAGCTGGAGCACAGCGGCATAATAATAGTTCACTGCAACCTTGAACTCCTGGGCTCAAGTGATTTTCCTGCTTCAGCCTCCCAAATTGCTAGGACAACAGGTGCATGCCACCATGCCTGGCTAATTTCTTATTATTTGCTTTGTAGAGAGAGGGTATTACTGTGTTGACCAGGCTGGTCTTGAACTCCTGGCCTCAAGTGATCCTCCCACCTTGGCTTTTCAAATCACTGGGATTTTAGGCACAAGCCATTGCTGCCAGGCTAAATTATCTTTTATAAATAATCTCTTTAGTCTCCTCAGTCTAACCCCTTTCTCTAGTTAGAGAATGAAGTACTTTTCAGAGATGGGGCTACAACAAACACCTGCTTTGCCTGCCAACCCACTGGTTTCCAGATCCCCCAACTCCCCACAAAAAGTAATACTGGGTTTTCCTGCTGAGCTCAACAGTTCTCTAAGTTGACCTGAAAAGATGTGGGCTGTGAAGTGAGAACCTAGGGCAACGAGGGTGATACTTTCACAGTTTCTCTACTTCTGCTTCAAAGAGAGCAAGTACAATTTAATCTGTATCTATTTTGCTTGAAGAAAGGTCTTGCTGTTAGACAAAAAATGAAATTCTGTGATCCAGATAGCAGCCCCTTGTGAGGGGCTGCTTGGCTTTCCCATCCCAGTGTGTATGCCCCCAGCATGGGATATAAGAGCATTGCTCTCACTTGCTTCAATCCATCTTCTGTCTCCCTGTGTTCCTGACGCTCCTGGAGCAGTAGTGTTTGATAACTTGGAAGGTTATGCCACATGGAAGCTGGCATGAGACCCAGCATCGTGAAAACCACTCAGCTAGAGCTCTGGATATATGCTTAGATGGCCTGGGCCATCCTGGGAATGTGTGACCGGGAGTGACACTTTCCTCTTCTGAGAAAAGAGTATGACAGTACCCATGCTATCATCTTCACAGGGCTGTCATGGGGGTGGCATGAGATAGCAGACCTGAAAACCACATTTAACAGTTTTAATTTTGATTCACACAGGTGGAATTATCTGGTTCAGTGCTCCTGAGTTCCTAGTCTGTGGGTGATTGCAGAAATTGTAAAGAAAGTGTAGGATTTAGTCTCTCTTTGCAGAGAACTGAGAGTAGACCAGGTGAAGCCATGTGAGTTAAGGTGTAGAGAAATGAACAATTAGCAAGTTGCTATTAGGGCAATGTTTCCATTCATTACATGCTTTAGTATTCATTAGAATCATTATTGCCTTTCAATTGTTTATAATCTGCTTGAATTTCTGGAGATATGCCACACATTTATACTTTGTTTAGTCACTATTTTTAGGTGTCAGCCTTTGTAATAAAAGGACAGAATCCTGCACAGAACTCAGGAACCGGAGCAGGACCCCTGGGTTTGATAGGCACCAAGTCTTTAACTGGTTCTGTAACTTTGGGCCATTCACCAGGCTTTTCTAGCCCTCAGTTTCTGTTTCTGAAATAGATCCACTACTTAATTTCTGGGGACCTCTTTAATTATGAAAATTGTTACAGTTACAATTGTGGGATGGTAGAAAAAGTCTTTGAATCAATAGAAGAACTTTGTCCTTCTCTAGCAGGGAAAATCACTTCATCTGTCTATGTGAGGGTCAACTTCCTCTTCTAGAAGATGGACCTGGAGATCTCCACCATGCCTGCCTCTCTACGTTATTGTGAGGACTGAACAGCAAGGAGTATGCAGAAACTTTATAAGCCATAATTCATAATATAAATGTTTGCTGCTGTTCCCTTGCTGTTGCTATAGGCATTGAAACACCTGGAGAGCACTCTTGGAGCCATGTATACAAGAGTGCATGGCAGTGTTGCTTCAATAGTCTGAGGGTTGAAGAATGCCAAAGCAGAGACTGATCTGAGGGATAGATTCATGAATAAGGCTTGGAATCATGAGCCTTAACCTAGCCATCTTTCATGGCCCTGGTGAGCCTGTGCTAATGACAGTGGTTCCCTCACAGGTGACAGCAGAGCTAGATGCCTGGAATGAAGACCTGCTTCGGCAGATGAATGACTTCAACACAGAGGACCTAACCCTGGCAGAACAGCGGCTGCAGCGCCACACAGAACGGAAGCTAGCCATGAACAACATGACCTTTGAGGTCATCCAGCAAGGCCAGGATCTGCACCAATACATCATGGAGGTCCAGGCATCAGGTGGGTGACCTCGCTCATTCTCCTGGCAGGGGAGATGATGAAAACAGGAATACCAGCTAGCCTGCAAGGAGCACTGCCCATCACTTATTCATTTTATTTCTACAGATACAAAGAATAGAGATTTTTACCCACATTGTTTTTTTAACAAAAGGAGAGAAACGAGGCCAGCTGTGGTGGCTCATGCCTATAATCCCAGCACTTTGGGAGGCTAAGGAGGGTGGATCATTTGAGGTCAGGAGTTCAAGAGCAGCCTGTCCAACATGGTGAAACCACATCTCTACTAAAAATACAAAAATTAGCTAGGTGTGGTGGCAGATGCCTGTAATCCCAGCTACTCAGGAGGCTGAGGCAGGAGAAATCGCTTCAACCTGGGAGATGGAGAATCGCAGTCAGCAGAGATCATGCCACTGCACTCCAGCCTGGGCAAAAGAGTGAGATGAAAAAAGAAAAGAAATAGAAGTCATGAGAGCTGAAATAGTACCCAAGGTTACCCAGTTAGGTTATGCTAAGATGGGAATAGGGCCAGGGTTTCCTGGTCTGCAGAGAGAGTGAGAGAACCGATGATGGCAAATAGCACAGATTACTTTGAAAAATGGTGGCCTGGAAAAGCAAACCAGAAGCAGTCAGACATCCATGTGGATTGTACTCACATGTGTGGCGGTTTCCTCTTTTGCTCCCCGACCCCTGCTGCCACCATACATTCTCTAGCCCTATCCTCTATTCCCAAGCTACTTCTTGTCTCCTGTTCTTGCTTCTCAGTCTCCTCAATTTTTAATCACTGGTCTGTGGGTGAATATAAGCAGTACTAATAAAAATTTATGACAAGATCATATAATTTTATAACTTCTCAGAAAAGCACGGCTGAGTTACTGAGATTTAACTTTTTTTCTTGCTCAAGATTTATCCAAAATTTATCTAAGAAATGAGTGAGTCCTTAATATTATACTTCCCACTCCCCAAGTCAGCCTTTGATGTTAGAATGAGAGAGCACCATGGTAATCCTGAGGACTGCTGGTCCAGAAGAAAATAAGTCACATGGCTGGTCACATCCCAGGGGAGTGCTAAAGCCCAGATCTCTACCTTCCACCTACTCCGCCGCCCTCCTACCTGGGTCCTTGTTGGCTTAGGTTCCTCACTGTCCAGCACGAGGTAGACAAGAGCTAAGGCCATCAATTCTAAAACATAGTTGGGCCATGTCCCTGCTTATCACGAAGGATATGGAAATCCTGAGATTGTCAGGGGGACCTTAGTAGTTTTACCGAACTTAAGTACTGTGTTTCTTTCACTGACCTGAAAGAGTAAAAACCAGCATTCAAAGGGACTTCACTCCTAACCAGAGAAGAGACAGCCTAGTAAATTCTGTTCACTTTTTTCAGCGTAGCCTGTCTTTGAATTTTCATCTGTGCTGTGAACAGACTGCCTCTGAGACCCAGGCCTATTAACAAGTATGCAGCTAGTGCCCAGTTTAGTCCCAGGAAGGGCTACTCACCTTGCAGTCTGTCTGGGGACATTTTTTAAATGACAGTGCCCAGGCCCCATGCCCTGCTATTCTGATTTAACTACCTCCAAATGGAACTTGGGCAACAGCAAACAGTTCCTAAGGTGATTCAACTGTGTCCACAGGGCCAAGAACCACTGCTTTTAATCATGGTAATTAAACCACAACAGCTGACATCTGTGGAATGACCGAGACAGTGGCTCTCAAAATGTGATTCCCAGATCAGCAGCATTAGCATCACCTGAGGATGTTTGAAATGCAAGTTCAAGGGCCCATTCCTGAACCCATTACATCAGAACCTCCTAACATTGTTCTTTCCTCACTATGGAATCATCTAAATGTTTGCTGCGATTCTTTTGCTGTTGCTATAGGCATTGAAACAGATAGAGCATGCTCTTAAAGCTGTGTACACAAGAGTAGATGGTAATGTTACTTAAATAGTCTAAGGGTCAAAGAATTCCAAAGCAAAGCTGATCTGAGGGGTGGATTCGTGAATAAGGCCGTGTTGCTTAAATAGTCTAAGGGAGAGCAGAGCGTGGCCCAGCAATCTGTGGTTTGATTAGCCCTCTAGGTGATTTTGTGCACCACTGACCTGGCATGTCTGGGCCCAGCAGCACCACCATCACTTGGGGGCAGATTAGAAATGCAAAATTGCTGGCCTTATCCCAGACTTGTGAATCTGAACATACATGTTAACAAAATCTCCAGGTAAATGTGTGCATCGGAATTTGGGAGTCAGTGTTCTAGGACATGGACTGTACCTTATTAGGGAAGTAGGGGAAACCGTAATCCTTTCTCTGTGGTTGGGAATCTTACCTGGACTCAGGATTTAGACCCTTGGCCTGCCCTAATGGTGGTCACTGTGGCTGTCTATGTAGCTATGACTGGGAACCATAAGAGAATGCAGACATAGTATCTAGCAGAGAGATGGGCAGAGAAGCTATGCAGGGATGCTCACCCTTCATCCCTCATGGTGGCTGTGTCTAGCAGGAAGAGAAGCCTTGTCTGCCTGGAAACGCGCAGCACATACTACCAGGGTGCTGACGTGACCATGGGCAAGCCAACCTCTGTCCCAAGAGCCAAGTATCCATAGTAGCAGAAAGACTGTCGGGAGCTAGAAGTTCCTGAAGACTGCTTATGACTGAGGTGGGCTGTGCTTGGCATCCACCTAAACCATGAGGGCTGAGTGGGTGAAAACACCCCAGGCAGATGGGCTGCCCACCCCCACAATATCCTGTTCTACAAATAAGCTTTGCTAGAAGAGGTTTGATGGGCCTTTCCTGTGCCTTTTGCTGAGACTGGCTGTTCTCCTGCTCCTACCACAGCTACCTGTTCAGCCTGGCATAGCCTATGAGGCTTTCAAGAGAATGAATCCAGAGGTTTTAGGAATGCTTACTCCCTGTCTTATGGCTGAATGCCTGGTTCTGCAGCGGAGGCATCTAACTCATCTCTGGGCTTAGGGAAATGGAGGGTAGATTCACACCAGAGCTGGAGGGTGGGAATGGGGTAAAGGGTAAGTACCTTTTCTTTCTCTTTAGACTTTAGTTTCTTCTTCTGTCTAGTGTGGTAGGCCTTGATTCTTAAGGTTCCCTCCAGTTCTCACTTTCCTTAATTTAGCCTAACTGCCCTCATGGGTCATGTCAGCACCCTGGTAGTAAGTGGGCTTAGAGTGGGCCTTGTCCCCCAATGGCTAAGGAATGTAAGACTTCAGAGATGCAGGACTGAGGCAATAAATGGCTTGGGCATTTATAATCTTTGTTTAATGGACTGTATTTGGACTAAAGGTAAAATAAACTGTTGTCTTAGAAAAAAGACAATTAACAATATTAAGACTTTTTTTTTTTTTTGGTATTTAGTCCTTCATGCTAAATTAAGGGCTTATGCTTTGATTTTATAGTAGCAAATGGAAGTAGGGAATTTTTGTATGCTTCTTTTCATAGGTGAAGTTTATGATGTTGAGCCAGGCTTTACTAAATCCCTCTGGTGTGCCCACAACTCTAACTAAAGCAAAAGCCTTTGCTTAACTTAACATCAGTCACAGGAATAGAGTAAATAGGAACAGTTTCTTAATTTGCTCATTGTTCTTTCCTTACTATAGAGTCATCTCTTTGAGCCTCAAGTTGTGAGGTGGTAGATTTTGCTGAAAGAAGTTGGGGGCAATGCGCTGGCTGAATTCAAGGTCCAGTTCTACCAGAAACTAGCAGTCTGATTTTAGAAGTCCCTTTTCTTTCTCTCTAGACTTTAGTTTCTTCTTCTGTCTAATGTGGCAGGCCTTAATTCCTAAGGTTCCCTCCAGTTCTTACTTTCCATAATTCAGCCTAACTGCCCTCACTGGCCAGGACATACTTCTTCTCTCCCATGAGAGCTGACCATGTGACTGTTGCACTTGACTTTAGGAATAAAACAAGAGCAACGTACCCTATGGATATGTCATTTTTGTAATTTACTCAAAGCATCAAATTCTCTCTTTATACAAGGTTTGCAAGTGAAAAATCTCTGGAGTCTGTGGCCATGATGCTTAAAATTTACTTTGCCTTAGAAGAACCCAACCCCTACATTTAAAAATCAATAAATTCTTAAACTAAGTTTTGTGAGGATCACTCTTCTCCTTGAGCCTAGAGGCTAGAACACAAAATCAGGAGGAAATCCTGGGTTGAAATCCCAGCCACACCTCTTAGGACCTGTACATGTTCTTGTACATGTTTGCCAGACTCTCTCTGAAAAGTAGTGATCATCAGAATCCTTACCACATAGGGTCATGTGAGGATGAATTGGGATAACATGGGAGATGGAAAGGGTTCAGTGAAGCTTGACAACTAGTATATTTTGTACTCATATTCTAGCACATGCTGCATTCTGTTGAAGTTATTTGGGTTTGAAGTTATTAGTTTTTCCAGTAGCATGAGGGTAGAATTCTTTCTTCCTTCTTTACATTCCCAGCATCTAGCAGAGCCAGTGTCTTGTGCCTAACAAATTCTCAATAGCAATGTTTGCTGAATTGATCAAGAATGAACATCAGTGTGGGTGAAACAGATGTAGGTAAAAATAATGGAACACAAATAATTTTACTAGTGTCAAAAAAGAAAGAAAAAAGATCTATGTGTGTGTGTGTGTGTGTGTGGCATGTGTATGTGTTTTTTTTTTCCCAAATGGAAGCTACTCTGGGGTTAATAGGAATGTGGACCTTAGAGAGCTAAGAGGAGGGGAAGAAGCAGCCTTGATGTAAAACAATGATTCTTAACCTGGCTGTAGATTGAGAATCACCTGGGGATTCTTAAAAATACCAGTGCCTGGGCCCCATCCCTTAGGGAGTCTTAGTTAATTGGTCTGGAGTGGGCCCAGATTTTTTTAAACTTCCCAAGTGATTTTAAGGTACAACCAGAGTTGAGAACACTGATCTAAAAACCTCATTAAAGGACTTTGTGATTTCTGAACTGTTAGGTAGAGGTAGTGACACAGAAAGAGGAATGCAGAGAGGAGGAGAAAAGAGAAAAGAAGATGTTCTGTATCCAAGGCAGATACCGATAGTTAAAGAACACAGTTTTTGGAAACATGTTACAAGTATGGGCGGCATAGCCAGAAATATCTAAATCTTACTCTAGACCACAGTCACCTCTCTCCTTGAGGAAATGAAAATGGTACCCCCATCTGGCAACAAAGGAAAGCAAACTAATGCTTATTGTTAGCTGTGACTTTTAGTCCTAAACAAACAGCAATGCAGAGCATTCTGCTGAGTGTAGCAGAAGGTATATCTGTTTCCCCATGTTTCTGGCCATTGTACCATCTTATCCAGTGATTCATAATCTTGGTTCCATGTTGGAATCACCCCTGGAGCTTTAAGACTTACTAATGGCTGGGTCCCAGCCACAGAGATTCTGATGTTATTGGTCTGGGGTGTGGTCAGGACATGGCGATTTTTAAAAAATTCTCCAGCTGATACTTGGGAGGCTGAGGCAGGAGAGTCGCTTGAACCTGGGAGGCAGAGGTTGCAGTGAGTCGAGATCGCACCACTGCACTCCAGCCTGGGTGACACAGCGAAACTCAGTCTCAAAGAAAAAAAAAATTATCCAGCTGAATCTAATGTGAGCCAGAGTTGAGAGAATTAGTCTAACAGCATATCGTTTCCAATGATATACATTAGGCGAGTACATAAACACCTGTCAGTAAGATTTTATATTTACATTTTGTACAAGCCATTCAGTAGTTCCATCAGCAATCAAAGTGTATTCATTATAATTTCTCTGAGGGAGAGGAAAAAGTGAGAAAATGAATATTTGAGCCTACTGGATGTTAGGCACTGTATACATTAAATCTCACATAGTTCTCACAACATCCTGAAAAGTCCTCATTGTGATTTCCATTTTACAGACAAGGAAACTCAGGCTCAGAGAGGGGAAGGAGCCCAGAGTCTCACCATTCACAGCGTGCAGAGCAAACCTAAGCCTGTTCTTCCCCCAAGCTCTTAGGTACTTTCCACCACAGCATATGACCTTAGTTCTCTGAAGAGGCTCATTTGTTCATTGATTAGGTATTTATTGGGTGATATGAGTGAAGCATTGTGCTAAGGCTTAAAGAGGCAGAGATGGATAAGACTGACATGGCCCTGGCATCAGAAGTCCAGCATTCCTGGGACAACATGGACAAGTTAATAAGGAACTAACCTCAATGGAAGTATTCTGATTGTGGTATGGGCACAGGAAATTGTGGGGGCACAACAGAAAGAAGTCTGAATAGAACTTTTTAAGAAGAGCCTGACAAGCGATTTCATCACAAATATGTCCACTACTTGATGGAAAGAGGAAACATGTCTTTTCGCATGCCTGAGAGCCTCTAAGAAAAAGAAATGGATATATCATTAGATTGAGAGTGGTAATGTCAACACAAGGAAACTCTGCCTGCTGCTGATTGACAGATACCATTTGATGGGCTTTAATTGGGACTCGTGTCAGTGTGTTTGGGGGCAGTGGGAGAGGGGATAATTTCTATTCTTCTAGGTGTGGCTGGAATAAATCTTCACGTTCCTTGCATTTACTCGGTCCACGACATGATGTGTTCCTAAGGAGTGCAGAGATGCAATAAGCATTGTCTTCATCCATTTTATTTCCTATGTTCATCTCACATAAAACAACACCAAATGAGATGGATGAAAATGCAGGGACTGATTCTCAGGACATGCTGGGAGCCTGCCCTGGATGACGTCCTGAGTAGGTGGCTATCCTCTTTGATAAGTAACATAGTGTGGCAGAGGTGAGCCATGAGGCTCACTTAGAAAGACATTTTGCCCAAGCCCAGCATCCTGAACACCAGAGACACATGCAGAATGAATATGAGCTACAACAAATCCACACTGAGACTGGAAGTGAGGAAGAGCGTCTGCTTCTGTAGATGGATCTTAAATTGCATTTCCAGAAAGCAAAGATAAGGGCCAGGGGTCATCCTACTATGCCAAGCACTGCAGAGGTAGAAATTTTTGCATTCCTACTTTTTATTTCAGTCAAGGCGATGCTGTACCTCATCCCCTTGGTAATTGAAAATAGTAACTGGAAGGAGTTGGCTGCCAAAAGAACAAGCCGTTCTTTTCTGTCTCCCACAGATATTTCAGGAGCTGGGACTTGGAATTATGAAACAGACACAAAAAATAAACATGAAAAGATACTGAAATTATTACCATGTAACACCAGAAAAAAAAAAGTGTTCCCACTCTCCCATATTGTCCTTATATAAAACACTATTTTTGCCTCCAGAGATGAATTTCCCTTAGCATGTGCAGACTTTCCTTATACTCCCCCGACTATATGCTGCAGGTGTGTTGGTGGTGGCAGTGATGGATTTCTGATGGTGTGAGAGTGATGAAGAAATCTCATAAAGGGGATTTATTTTTTAGGTAGCCATATATTGAGATTGGCAGGCTCCCCATGGAAGTACATTACCTTTTTGGTGACTTATGTGCTGGACTTTTGAGTCTGAACCCCATCATTGGTTGGGATCTTTTTCTTCAGCATCTCAGACAAAGTGTCAGCATCAGGACCAAAGCTGCATTGGGTCTAGATTGTTGGATGAGGAGCCAGGGAAAGGACTTGGACAGAACTAAGAAGTTGCAGAGACAGGTGGACTCAGGGATCAGAATAAGCAAGCAGTCCAGAGTTAGAACTTTCCCAGAGCTAAGGTTCTAAGCAAGGCTGCATAAGAAATATGTAGACAATCCAAATCAAGAAACAACCTGGGTCACAACTTGCAACAAGTTGGAGAGAGTTAGAAACAGAGAGGGTATGAATGTAAGAAGGCAGAAAGTTGAAAGTTTAAGGTGAGAGTCAGGAGTCAGGAAAGCCACAGGTCTGAGGAACAATGATCTATATTTATTGTGTGCCACGTATACACAGTAGTATGTGTGTATGTGAGATACTTTACATGAATCATCTCATTTAATCCCACAAGTTTAGGAGGTAGGTAGCTTATGAGGTAGGTAGGTATGTAAATTCATATTTTACATATGAGAAAAATGAGGCTTCTGAGAGTCTAGGTAGCTTGCCCAAGGTCAGGATTCCAACTCAGGACTGTTCCAAAGCTAGTACACTTTCATGTAGTCTTTGAGAGCCAAGTAAGGAATCAAAGCTAGTATACTTTTCATGTAGTTTTTGAGAGCCAAGTAAGAAATCAAATTCAAGTTACTAGTGAAGAGAATGACTTTGACTACTAAAGCAGTCCTTTGCTCTCACTCAGAGTTTGTTTATTTCTGAGGCAGAAATTCATTTGATGAAGCCTACCTTAGGCCTGCTGGTGATAATGTATAAATAGGAGAACTGGCATGGGGAAGAGAGGAAGTGTGTGTGTGCACCTGTGCTCATGAATTGGGAAAAGTATATAGGAAAGGTAAGACAAGGAGGTAAACAAGGAGCGGGGCCACAGCTTCTGGCTGGCGTATATTGACTCAAGGTTCCCATTGTAGGTTAGATGGTTGACAGTTTATTAATGTTGGGTGTTTATACATAAACATTAGGAACACTTGTCAGTGACTGACTGAGCTTACTAATTATAAATCAGTAGAAAAACAATGAGCAAACTCTCCTTGTGTGGGCACAACTTTAACATGAAGCTTTTTTTTTAATGAATAAGCTCTCATTATCCCTGTGGCATTGCTGGGTTGTATTTATTAGGTGTGTTTGTCTGAGTTTTATAAATAATATATGAGAGCTAGCATATATTTCTAACAATTCCTTTTTTAGAGGACCTAAGTAGTTGGCTAATAAAATCACCACTGTACCTGTACAACACTTGCAGGGAATTTAAAAGGAATTTTTAAAAAATCACTATTGTGCGTCTACTCTCATTGGAATGAACTTACCATCTAATGATAAATTATATCTGACCAGCTAAAAAAAGTGTGTTGTTGGCAGAAGTATGGAGACAGTCTTTTGGTTTGGTTTTCTGTTTTCTGATATGATTTAGAGGCTTGTTTGTGAATATTCTGGGTGTTGGCAAATCCCCCAGCAGGAATTGCTGGGTGCTGTCATGTCTAGGGATGAACCTCTAGATAACTCTAATTTCTGTTGATAATAAGAAACTGATCATCTGTTGAAAAGGAATTCTCAGGCAAAGGATTAGTTAATACAAAAGAGATGTCATAATCTTAGCATCCCAAACAAGGGCCTATTGTGGTACCCAGTTTCACAGAGGAATGTTTAGAGTTTGGGAGGGTATGAATAAAGGCTGTTTCCAAATTCCAGTTTTCTTATGCATATCGAAGGAAATGTAGCCTTCATGGTACTAGCTGGTTTTTAATTGTTTACATTTTTTAAATCAGGAATTGAGTTGATCTGTGAGAAAGACATTGATCTGGCAGCCCAGGTACAAGAGTTACTGGAATTTCTCCATGAGAAGCAGCATGAATTGGAGCTCAATGCGGAGCAAACTCATAAGCGGCTAGAGCAGTGCCTCCAATTACGGCACCTCCAGGCTGAAGTCAAACAGGTAAGCCCAGGCCTTCCTTCAACATGGGTTTCTCAGCCAGCTGAGCCTGACCTTGGACCTACTCCTGGTATGAGGTAAGGCATACAGAGCGACTGGTCCCCCTTTAAGTAAACAACACTTCAAAAATAGGTAAATTAAGGACTGCTTGTATTAGTTTCCGAAAGCTTGGCTGCAGTAGCAAATAGACCCAATGATGCAATGGCCCAAAGAACAAATGCATGATTTATCTGTTATATAACAATCCATTCCAGAGTCATCCTCAGTCACCGAATCTATTCTTTCTTTCTGTCCTCAATCCTGTCAAGCAGTCCATGGGAAATATACAAATCATTTATCAATAAACATATTTAGGATATAGAGTCAGGCTAATTAATTTGGGGCACCTGTGTGCCTGACACATAGTTAATATTCAATAACTAGTAGCAATTATCATCACTGTTTCCAAAGTGTGTATGAATATTGTAGGAAAGTTTTCTCACCATATTAAAGTTGATTTCAAAAAGAAAAAATAACTTATCTGCATGAAGCATTATGCTAGGCATTTTATCCAAAGACATACCTAGATCTCTAGGAACCTGTGGGAACATACACACAATGACCAAGCAGGCCAGGCGTGATGGCTCATGCCTGTAATCCCTACACTTTGGGAGGCCAAAGCAAGAGAATCACTTGAGGCCAGGAATTTGAGACCAACCTAGACAACATGATAAGACCCCACAAAAAATTTTCAGTATTAGCTGAATGTGGTGGTGCATGCTCCTGGTCCCAGCTAATTGGGAGGCTAAGGAAGAAGGAACTCTTGAGTCCAGTAGTTTGAAGATGCAGTGGGCTATGATCATGTCACTGCACTCCAGCCTAGATGACAGTGAAAGATCCTGTTTCAAAAAAACACAAAAAGTACACATATTAAGAACAGACTAAGTGGTAATTGTTTTAATTACTATTTGGACAATGTGGGAGGGTGCATTAAAGAAGTAAAATTATGATAATAGTTCCATTTTGTTGAGTGCTGTGGGCCTGTTATACACATCTTCATTAGTCTTCACAACTGTCCTCTGAAGTAGACCTTATTCCCATTTTATAGATTAGACCACTGAAGCTTAGGAGGTCAGCAGACCATGGTCACCCTGAGGAGAGGGCACACCACTACTCTCCATGGGTCCCGGAGGGCTTCCCAGCAGGGCAGGCACCACATCACTCCTGTGGTTGCCCCTTTCTGCCGCACCCTACCATCCTAAGCAGAGAAACATCTTTCCTTTAAACATTTTTTTTTTCTTTTCTATACCAGCTGCTAGAGCTTTTACCTTTTTTCTTTAGAAAACCATACCTCTCCATGCTGGAACTTTTAGAGTTAAGCCTATTGATTTAGCATGAGGGCCAAAAGCATTTTATTTTGTTTAATTGTTGCTTGATTCCTTATAGTAAGAATATTCCTTGCTTTAATTCCTATGTCTTAGTTATCATATTGTTATTTATTATAATGAAAAAACTATTTTCTCCACTCCCCATCTCTTCCAATCAGTGCTGAGCCACAGCCCACCCTCGCCATGCTAAAGATCTGTATTCAGCACAGATTAAATTCATGAGCCTTAAGCAAGGTGGGGTTATGGTGTTGCCCTCCAGGTTGTTTCTGCTTAATGACACTGGGATCACATCTGAGTCTCCAGAGAGAACTGTTATTCATAAGGACTTGGTGGAAATCCTAGCAGGCCCAGAACAGTAATGAGTATGCAAATTCTGCAACTTAGTAGTTAAGATTGGACTTTCTTTTCATATGAGAAGTACTTTCTCATTTATGGTCTCATTTTAAGAGAACATGCCCACGGGGAGAAGTGGTGTTATGCCTACTTTTCAAATGAGGAAACTAACGTACCATAGGATGAGTGCTCCCCAAGGATTCTTGACTAGTTAGCTGAAACTTTAGCCCAGGCCTCCTAAATCCAAGGTACTAAAGTTTGCCTCTTTTGGCCCCAACTCTTACCATGTGGTCCCAGGAGAAATAAAGGCCCTCCAACATTATGTGAAGTGAAATGAGCCAGGCACAGAAAGACAAATATCACATGCATGTGGGGGCCAAAAAAGCTGATCTCTTAGAAGTAGATAGTGGAGTATGGCTATCAGACGTAGAGAAGGGTAGAAAGGAGGGGAGGATAAAGAGAGGTTGGTTAATGGACACAAAATTACAGTTAGGAGGAATATGTTCTAGTGTGGTATAGTACAGTAGGGTGACTATAGTTAACAACAATTTATTGTTTATTTCAAAATAGCTAAAAAAAAGGAATTTGAATGTTTCCAACACAAATAAATGAGGTGATAGTTATCCCAGTTACAATGGGCACTGCACATTGTATATCTGTAGCAAAATATCACGTTTCTCATAAATATGTACAATTATGTTTATCAATTCAAAATTTAAAAATAAAGAAAAAAATCCCTCTAACTGAATGGTCTGAGGTTTTCCTGACCTCAGCAGTACCATTTCTGAGAAGACAGGAGCAAGCATGGCCTAAGCTTAATGGAGGAGGTGGCACCTGTCTGAGGTCAGCAGGGCTCCTGCAGGTCATCGGAATCCTCTGTTGCTCCTACTTGGTTGTTTCCATCAGTGGAAGGTGGTAGGAATGACCATCTGAACAAAACAGATAACAGAAAAATCATTCCTATTTGACTTTGAAATGAAATATATTAATTTGCTTTTGTTCTTGGTTTTTATTTTTTTCCAGCATCAGTGGTAGAGTCAACTCCCTAATTCACTTTTCCTTGGCTTGTATTAAAATAGAAATATATTCATTCTCCAACTCACATTCTGTATAGGAGGAGACTGGGCTGATGATAAGTATTTTTTCAAATGGGGAAGTAGACTGTCTCTATATAAATAATCTGGGGTGGACTAATATCTGTATACTTTTCCATTTATAATTTCATGAGTGGGAAGACAAAAAAGGAATTCTTCTGTGGGGGCGGAAAAATTCCTTATCCCTGCCATGACAAAAATGACACACCGTGGGATTGTAGTTCAAAACTACAAAATTGCTCAAATCAGATTCTCAGGAAACCTACCAAACCCTTTGCAAAGGGCAGTGGCTCTCGAGGTGCCAAGGGACTGCTGCTTGGTTAAGCCACCATGCCTCATTAGACAGGCTTGTTTTCCTTGTCAGTGTAGACCCTTTCCTTAGGGAGTCCTCTGATCCAGTTTCAGAGAAGACATTTGTGTTTGATGGAAATTGGTGGAGCAGGAAATATTGATTTGGAAGCTGTTGACTCTTGGAAAAAGGGAGTTAATTTAGATGTCAGTATTGATCAGTGAGGCTAAATTTAGATAGTAGCTTGAGAGTCTCTTTTGAATGTAGTCTCAAAAAAGAAAGAAAGAAAAAGGACACCTTAATTGAAATACCATTAATGGGGGCAGAAAGGAAGAGGACAATAATGGATTATGATACAACTGTGTCATTAGAGGTCATAGATTAAAGGTTTAGATTTGATCATGGCTCATCATAACCTTAAGTGTAGTTTTACCAAAATTATGTTAAACTGAAACACTGAAAAGCCAGGAAGGCATAGATATTAAACTAAAAATTATGTTCATGGACTCAGAACAAATGAAACTGATTGAAGCAACTGATTTTCTTTCTGAGGGTTTATGTAGGACTTTATATCTAAGATAGGTAGGTCAAACACCCCTAGAGAAATGGTGGACCTTGAAGGAAAACCACTCCATAATTATAGATCGTGGTGCAGATCCCTAGACCACACAATGCCAGATTACTCTCCAAACCCCACAGAATCCTCTGATAGCTACCAGGAAAATAACTACTCTGGTGAAGATGACCTCACATCTATTAGATAATTCAGAAAGATTTGAAAGACCTATCTAATGAGGATAAAACTAAATGAACTTCCATATGTATTCCTGCAAAGCAGTGCATTTAGCAGAAAATAAACTAAAATGGATTTATAAAATGTTGTGTCTCTAAGCTATGAGGAAATAATTTATATTTATTTGATTACTAAAGACATTGGCTTAATTTGCTTTTTTGCACAAAATGCTGGCCAAAATTTGCATATAATCATGATGGACATTTAAGACAAAGGAGAAAATATCAGCCTGTTCTCATTCTCCTGTGGAGAATAGTATGTTCAGTTCTGTTGACTGAATATTAAAGAGAGAAATTGTAGTAGATCCAAAAGAGTGGCAGCCAACAGGACAAGTACCATCCTTTTGTTTCTAAATGGAGATAATTAAGAGGACATATGGCCACATTCTATAAAACCATGAAGGATGAACATGTGCAGTCTCACGGACCACAGATTTTTAGAACTAAGCAACACTGGACATATGATGGGCTCCCTGCTACCATCTGAAGAGCTGATTATTTTTCCCGTGGCTAGAGTTTCAGAAACAACTATGCCTTGTGATAAATCATCTACAATAGCGGTCCTTAGAGTCAGTTGCCTTAAGTACAGCCTCATAGCTTTGCTGTAGGTATGACCTTGAGAACACAGCCATCTACGGGCGGCTTCCCAGCCTACGTAGTTACAAGGCTCAGTCTGCTTAGCTTAAATGGCATCACCATTTGTGGACATCCACATCCACTTACTCAAATCCAGTCTCCTGACTTGGACTTAGCTGAACTTCCCTGGCCCGAAGAAGCAATAGATCTGCATATACAGTTCCCCCCTCAAGCTCAGACTGAGCTGAACTCTTTTGGGCCTAGCTCTTAAGTCTCTAAGCAGTGATATTCTTTCAGTCCTTCATTTCTACATAACTGATTTTCTTGGATACCCTATGGATGTAGGGGCACTCTTTGAATTTTGAAAGAAGTTAGAGCTGGAAATTAAAGATCATCTAGCCCGTTGGGTAAACTGTTGCCTAAAATGATTGCTCAATGTCAATATTCATTTTATGGTTTGAAAAATAACTTTACATTAATTATTTTCTTTTCTCTTTACCCTGTGCCTTATGCAAGGAAAGTGTTCACATTTTACAGATGAGAAAACTGAGCCTTAGGGAGCTTAAATAATGTTTGCAAGGTCACACAGCTCAAGATTAGTAGAACCAACATTTTCTCATTTTAATTATGATATTTATTAACTTGCACACGTTTGTATGCACACAGAATAGCCAGTTTTATGAACCTGGAAGGTGAAAAACAGCAGTAATGGAAAATTATACCAACAAGGGTTATCAGTGATCAGAGTAAAAGAATAGTGATGACAAAACAGCTAAGGAAGCTACATCACATCAGAATATGCCAATAAGCTCATACAGATCATGGAATAAATCTCTCTTCTCATTGAGAGAGGTATAAATAATCACATTATTACGCAGCTTTGCTCTAAACTAAAAATCACCACCAGTACCATCATAATCATCAGGCTTTACATTTTACACATTGTTGCATCAACCCTACAATGCATAAAGGGAAGGTACAATCATCCTTATTTTACAGATGAGAGAACTGAGGTTCAGAGGGGTTAAGTGATTTTGCCAGGTAAGTAAAAAAAAGCCAGATAATCTGACTCCAAATTTTATGTTATTTCTCTACTATGCCAGTTCTACTTCCAGGACTGACTCATTCATACGGATCAGTCCCACCCTGGAACTAAGCCATGGATATAAACTACCATGCATTTTTAGCTTCCCAAAGTCAAATCTCCCACTTTAAAGTCCTGGGATGCCTTTTTAAACAGCATTTAGTAAATAAAAATGAACAAGGAAATGATGCAATGTACTTTAAAAAGTAGGTACTGAAACCCATGATGTTTCTAAATGGAAAGCTGGTAAATAGGGATCCCACCACCATAGCTATAACTCATGTTTCCTGTTGGCTGAAACTGGAGAGAAAAATATTCTAACAAAACTGAAGAGGCCCAAAGGGAGTCATATTGTCCCATAGGTATTGATGTGTGATGCACTTGAAAAAATGGTTTCTCTGACACCCTCAAATGCATCTTCAGACCAAACAAAATGCAATGAATCATGGCAGAGGGACCTTGTGAGCTCCATTTCCCAAAGAAATGAGGCATTTGGGCATGCAGTCTATGAATGCGTGTGCCCAAAGTTACAGGCAACTTTTCAAAAACATTAGCACCTCTAGCCAGCCATCCACAGTCCACCAGTGTCAACAGGGATTTCATGTGAACACTCGGAGCAGTTATTTCTTGTAACTAATTGCTTTACAGATTGGCATTTCATCTACAATCTGCCAGTCTGGCCATGAATTGATGTCTCAATCCAAGTAGCCCAGCTTTAGTGGGATTTATGCCCTGATGTTATCTATGTACAATAAGGCATGAGTCATTTTTTGCCCAGAGCTGAAATTTGAGAGGTGCCTATGAGTTATGGAGCACGAGAGTGGGCTTGGTATTTTCTAATTGTTTAATGTGAAGAAGCAGAGGAGAGGAAAATCTGAAAGCAAATCTGAAACACATCATGATGTCTTCCCCTTTGGCATGAGGTGACATATGGATGGTATTTACTGATCTTGAAATTTCAGAATAGCTTTTATTTCTTCTTTAGGCAAACTCTCAGACTCCCTAATAAATAAAGTATTTGGCAATGTTCTGGTGACCAGACACCAGGTAGGTTTTCAGAGCCTAGCTCTTCCAGTTGCATTATTTGCTCTGACTTTATTAGCTGGATAATTGCCACATCCCCATTTCACCTAGAACTGTCTAGACAGTGTCAGCTGTTTCTCCTTCTATCCTAATAATCCGTTGTTGAGTTTTCTTTCTCCCAGTGCATGTTAACATCATATAGAAGTTGTATTCAGGCTACCCATGGCCTCTAAATAATTTAAGTCAATTATATTACAGCTTACTCCCCTTTTTCTGATCCAGAATATGGGTTATTCCTGTTATTTTGCTTTTCTTTGTCTTTTCTTTTTTGGGGGGGTTATTTACCTACTGAAATTCAAACCTGCCTACTCTTGGTTATTTTGCAAGGTAGAGGAAATCAGACTCACTGCTCAGGTGTGACCTGGGTATTCGCCATTACTTCAAAAACATTACTATACTCATTATATGCAAAGTATGTGCCAGGTACTGTGAGACTAAAATATGACTAATATATTGCCCCAGATTTCAGGAAATTTGTGTTCTCAGGGGAGATGAAACATAGGTTGAAATAACAGAACCAGGAAGTCTGTGGTGAATACCATAAAGATGGGACATACAAAATGATATGCTTGCACTAGACCAAGAAGAGATTGTAAAGATTTGTAGCAACAAATGAGTTGTTGTTACTTGAACTGGACCTTATAAAAAAGAAAAGGATACCAACAGATGGAATTTATTTATTTATACCCTTCTGTGTTCCAGAAAGATATTTAGACATGCATACAGTACAACCAGGTTAAGTAATGTTTAAACTAAATGGGTAAGGAAATTGGGACAGAGGGGTGATGTGGAGCTGGGAATGAAGCTGGCACAAAAAATAAGTACTTTATGGCACAGGTGCTCAGTAAGATTGGGGAGATTACCATTTTAATTGTGGAGACCCTCCCTGTCTCTCTCCAACAGAAGATAAAAGATAGTAAGCTCTCTCTGACTGAAGTCCCTGTGAAAGGAGGCAACAGCTCTGGGGAAACTGCGGAAGGCCATTCACCTGTGTGCTTGTCCCAACTCCCTAGGTCCTGGGATGGATCCGCAATGGAGAGTCAATGCTCAACGCCAGCCTGGTCAATGCCAGCTCTTTGTCGGAAGCAGAGCAGCTACAGCGGGAGCATGAGCAGTTCCAACTGGCCATCGAGGTAACACCCAAATCTGGCTGCACTGTCCTCCCTTCCCCTTTCTGCTCTGTACCTCAGGCAGGGTGAGTCTCAGGTATGGGTGTCCCTTCAGGCAGCAAAGGCTATACCCCTTCTAGTGGGATGGTCCAGGGAGCCTCATCTTACCCAGGAATTGATAGGGAAGCAAATGCAGGGGTTCATCCCCCAGGGAGGCCTGGTATTAGAATACAAGTATTCACACTTCATATGAGAATCTTTGGTACATATCTGTACCTTCAACCTTTAAGGCCACTGGTACGTTGCTTTTTTTTTGTTTGTTTGTTTTTTTGTTTTTCCATACATTCTAGATTTGTACCATATGAGGAAATGTAAAACTAAAAGGTTAGAAGTCATTTCCAGTCAAGATCACTCAGGATTGAGGATAAACAAGTGCAAAGGTCATTATAAATTAGGGTCCTATTTTTAAACCTTAGATTTACATGTAACCCTTAGATACTATTGTCAAAGTCTGCCTTTTAACAAGGATAATGACTGTTGGAGCAGATTGCACCAGATGTAGTATACCCTGCTCAAAGTAGTTGTTCAATAATGCTGGTAGAACAATATTTAAAAATAAACTGCAACCAGAAGAAGTTTATCAACAGGGACTTTTTGGAAGGCTATTAAAAATAAAACTTCATAGGCCGGGCGCGGTGGCTCACGCCTGTAATCCCAGCACTTTGGGAGGCTGAGACGGGTGGATCACAAGGTCAAGAGATCGAGACCATCCTGGTCAACATGGTGAAACCCCGTCTCTACTAAAAATACAGAAAATTAGCTGGGCATGGTGGCGCGTGCCTGTAATCCCAGCTACTCGGGAGGCTGAGGCAGGAGAATTGCCTGAACCCAGGAGACGGAGGTTGCGGTGAGCCGAGATCGCGCCATTGCACTCCAGCCTGGGTAACAAGAGCGAAACTCCATCTTAAAAAAAAAGTAAAAAATAAAAAAATAAAACTTCATTTATGATAATCTAATACAAATTTTGTTTTAAGTACCCTTAACTATCCTTTTTTACTGGGACATTGTCCTTTCCAGAGAGACTTGAACTGATTGCTTTATAGTGGTGTAGGAAAAAGAGTAGGAAATGAACCATGGGAACTATATTAAAAATAAAATAAGTTCATTGCCAGTGGGAAAACAGACAGAATGAGAACTTCCAAGACATTCAATACTTATGGTTCAGTATAGAATTTAACCCACTTTTGGGTGTGTAAGAAATGCAAAGGTGTTATCTTTTACTTAAAAAAAAAGAAAAAAAAAAGATTGTTAATGCGTCATTTCTACAACAATGATGGCAAAACAATAAAATTTTAATTGCCTGTGTCTTTTTATGCAGTAATCCAACTGATTGCTAACCATTTTAAAACTAGTATTGATTGATTGCAGCCATTTAATTTCCTAGAAACTATCTTGGATATATAAACATAGTGTTAAGATGCATGATATTTTCTTAGGAGCCATTACTAGTACTAGAAGAACTGTCTGAGATTTGAGATTCAAAAACCAACTTTATATTGTGCACACAGTATCAGCAAATCATTTTCTAAGGAGGAATTAACCAGGGAAATAAGTTTTATTGTCATCAGCTGTCTCTATTGTAGCTAACTGACACACCCAAATATCACAGTGTTAGGATGTATTCACTATAAAGAAAAAAAATAAGATTGGGGTTATAATCAAGAATTGGGGCCAGGCATGGTGGTTCATGTGTGTAATCCCAGCACTTTGGGAGGCCAAGATTAGCAGATCACTTGAAGTCAGGAGTTCAAGACCAGCCTGACCAACATGGTGAAACCCTGTCTCTACTAAAAATACAAAAACATTAACCAGATGTGGTGGTGGGTGCTTGTAATCCCAGCTACTCAGAAAGCTGAGGCAGGAGAATTGCTTGAACCCAGTAGGTGGGGGTTGCAGTGAGCTGAGTGGTTGCAGTCCACTGCACTCCAGCCCGTGACAGAGTGAGACCCTGTCTCAGAAACAGAAAAAGAATCCGGCACACAGTAGTCAAGTTCCCATAGTCATAAGCAGCAACGAAGGAAATGAAGGCTGAGCAATCAGACTAAAGGTGTAGCACAGTTATGAGGCATGCTGGGTAGAATGAAGACAGCTCTTAGCCATACCTCCTCTTTATTTATCTTGAATGAAAAGATTTGTCTTAATCCAATGGTGGACAAGTAAGACTAAGTGTCATAACACACTTGAGCATCTCAATGAGCTTGTGAGGAAGCATGGGTAAATGTATTCACAGTGCTTGAAATGACTACATCCCACATGACTGCATATGCAATATGTATTCATTTGTTAGATGCTGTTGCACCTTTACAGAATAGAGGCTCATTAAGCATAAACACCTCTTAATCAGTTCTTGGTTTCTATATGGATACCACTTGATCAAATATTCTTGGAATTGATGTTGAGATATAGGCCACTTGGTCTGGAGAGGGCATGGCAGAGCAGTTAGGATTTCCGGAAGATATTGGGAATGAAAGGTAGGCAGAGTCTGTGTTGGCTAGAACAATGAAAAGAACAGAACTAGAATTGCAACATATGCTTGTTCTCCAGGTGGCCTGCACTTCTCCTTAAGTGTGTCAGTTCAGACAAGGTTCTCCATCAGAAGGAAAATATGCCAGAGAAGATATAAGCTATTTCAAAGGGAGTGATAGCAGTTGGGTTTGGTTTAACTTATTTTGACAGTGTTACTGGAGGCCTTTACAGTGATTCTTGGTGGGAGCATAATTTGACTTCTTGAACCCTCAGAAAGAACCCTGGATTCCACAGGGAAAATTAAAAAGTTATAAAAGGGATGTCATATAATTTATTCTTTAAATGAGATTCTTTAAAAGTGAAGGAGAGAATTATTAACAACTAAGCCAGAAAAATAGGCATATACTAGAACTGTGATGAACCTTGTAATATCTTGAGTGAGCTCATCAGGTTGAAGGTTTTGGCCTTTCTAAGGAAGCTCAGGATTTTTACCTGAAGTAGCCTTGGTTTCAAGAAGTCTTCCCCAGAGCCATTCAGAATGGAAAGCAGTACAGAGCATTTGAAAGAAACTTAGCTTTGTCAGACAAACCCAGAAATACTATTTGTTAGTATCCAAGATGTAGCTGATGAATCTTCATGAACTGTGAACTTCAAAATCTATTGTTCTTTGAAATCCTCTTATGCATTTTAAGAATAAGCATTATGTCAGCAGAAGTAGTTAAAACTGGATAATAAATTCAGTTGATTCAGTTCCATTTTCTTCTGAGTACTCCTACTAAATATTAATGTCCATGATAATCCATGTCTTAAGAATGTAGCACTCAATAGGATTAGATAATGGGGAGTAGAAATAAGGGCAAAATAATGAGTTAAGCTTAGCAAAGCAAAGATTATGTTGTATGGATAAGAGTTTATCATTTAGGAAATTAAAGGGGGAAGATGGTCCCAGGACTGTTACATGATAATGAGTTTCAAAGTAAGAAAGAACATTTATATATATCTTATATATATATTTCCATATATTGTAGGAAAATTAAGGTTTATTTCTCCTTTGTCAGAGAAAAATACATAACTGTTTTATGGTAACAATTATATGCTCATTTTAGATATTGAGAAGAGGCCAGATAATTATAATTGTTAATGTTCATTTGGTGAACCCTTCCTTTAAATGAGATACTATAGGTACTGTTCTAATTGCTAGAGATAAGATGATGTGATATAATGGAAAGAGCACAGGTTTGGAGATGGGTCAAATATGAGTCTTATTTCTGGTTTCATTACTTCTTTGGGTTGTACGTGTTTGAGCAAGTCACTTAGCCAGCTGATCCTCAGTTTCTTAGTCTGTGAAATGGGAATGATAATATCCACCTTGTAGTCATGTTGAGAGAACTAGAAAATATCTGCATAGAGGCACAGTGCTTATGATTTTTCAAACCATCCTTGCCTTGAGTGTCACAGTCTAAGTAAGGAGAATCAGCCAAGTGTTGGATGAGTGACATAGAAGTTCAGAAGAGGGTGGTTTACTGTGAGTCTCAGGCTGTCTGGAAAGGCCTCATCCAAGGAGGGTAGACTTGAGCTGAGTCTCAAAGGAAAGCTGGAACATGTATGGGGAGAGACTTGGGACATTTATTAAAGGCAGGAAGAATGAAGGTAGCAAAAGCAAGAAAGTACATGATGTGTTTTCAAAGGGTTTTTGTAAGGAACTAATTGGTGGTCATGTTATAGACGTAGTTTGGGACCGTGTTGTAATGAGGGCCTTTTAATGACAGCCTCCAAAGTTTGGACTAGCAATGGGAAGACCACTGAAGACTTGAACTGAGAGAAGTTAGTGACATTTATGGCATAAAATGAGAGTTTTAGAACTGGAAAAGATGTTAGAAGTTACATAATGCTAGTACTTTCCATTACAGAGAATTAAAGGGATCCGTTAAAAATGTCAAAAATGAATTTTTGAATTAGAAATGGAAGGCAAGAAGACTCATTAGGTCATCACCACAACAGTCTGTGTATAAAGTGGTGAGGGCTGGGCTGGGACTGGGGAGAGTGGAATGGCAAGCAAGAATGATGTCAAGATTTTAATCCTAGGAGGAGAGGGGAGAGTGCCAACAGAAGTGGCAGATTACCATGGGAAAACTGTTTTAAAGAGAGGAGGAGTTTAGTTTCAGCTGTGGAACTTGAGAAGCTGTCTGGGGGAGGTAGAGACTCTAATAGAGCAGTGAAGCCCTTCCCATTCACTGGCAAAGGCCCCTCCTCTCTCCAGGAAGGTCACTTTTACAGAATGCATCTTTCTGCCAGTCTGACATGGAACAGACTGCTAAATCAACTGAATCAGTGCTGCTCACTAGGGCGAGATCTGTGCAGGCAACTCACTCTTGCATCTGAGAGCAACTAAAGAAGAGAGTCAGATGTCAGACAAGAGACATAGACTGGGGAATCATCTGCAAAGAGAAGATAATAGAAACTAAGGGAGTAGATGAAAGCTCTGCAGCAGTGGGTGGGAGGGGTGGGAGAGCTGACCTTGATACCTCTACTTTTAGGAGACAGGAAAAGAAAATGATGCCAATAAGTAAGACAAAGAAAGAAAACCAGGGATTGTAGTGGATCATTTCTACCCACTAGCTTACTCTCTCTAGCCGCATTCAGCAATTAGGAACCCAAATGCTGATGTGGTCATCAGGATTGAGGGTTGACTTAGTGGAAAGGCAGGCAATGAAGGAGTCTAGGTCGTAAGAGGAGGTCATGCTAACATTGCTAACTCTGAATACGGATTCAGGAGAGAGTGAAGAGAAGCCAGAGGTGGGGGATAGACTGGAGAAGATAAATGAGAATGTGTAGACTGCAATCTGGAATGAGGGTGAAGGGGCATCATGGTGGGAATCAGGGAGAGGCATAGGTGAAAATGAGTGAGGCTGTGCTTGGACACAGGGAGTGCAGAGTGGATTAGCTCTTGGGAACTGTCCAGAATTGCTGCCCAAGAAGAAGGGTAGAAAATAATTCTGGAGTAAGCTACTGAGTTCTAGCTGTTCTTTTTCACTGTCAGCTGAACTATCATTTTCTCAAAGTGCAAAGGCCAAATTAGTACTATACCATTAGTCTGGAACAGTCCCAACAGTTGAGGTTGGAATGATAGTAGTTCTTTCAAGTCATTAGGACTTTAACATTCTCATAGAATCATCCACGTCAGTATTTTGTCTTAGTAAATCTTAATTCCATTTGGTTCTCTCCCTGACACCCTAGTTCTCCCCACCTCCTACAGTTAATATAAACTCAGAGAACACATAGCATATTTAGCCTAAATCAGAAAGCATTAAAAAAAAAAAAAAAAAGAACTTCTGGCAAGCTGTCGTGGCTTTTGCCTGTAATCCAAGCACTTTGGGAGGCTGAGGCCAGAGGATCATTTGAGGCCAGGAGTTCGAGACCTACCTGGGCAACACAGCAGGACCCCATTTCTACAAAAAGTAACAAATTAGTCAGGTGTAGAGACACACACCTGTAGTCCCGGCTACCCAGCTATTTGGAGGCTGAGGCAAGAGGATCTCTTGAGCCCAGTTCAAGGCTGCAGCTAGCCACGATTGCACCATTTCACTGCACTCCAGCCTGGGTGACAGATCAAGACCCTGTCTCAAAAAAAAAAACAAAATATAAGAAAAAAAAATAGACCTTCTACATATATATATATATGGAGTTATATATATATAACTCCTTAAGGGTTATGTAAATAACACTGAGGTGAATTTTCTCCTGCACTTTTGTGCCCTCCTGGTAAATAATTAAGGGATAATGTAAGGAGGTTACTCTCTAGTTTTATTAACCTGCCAAATTTATTCCTTCAGCTGGAATCCTTTTCAACTGATTATTAATGTTTTAAATGATTGCATTGTCAGCTGAGATTTGTGTTACGTGGTTTCTTTTCATGTGCTGCCTATACTTAATCTATAAAATGGGACTGTGGTAGTAACCTCCTGTGAAAACTCAATGTACAATTTTATTCTATTTGTAAAGGAAATTTAATTTATGAACCAATTAGGGAGCAGATTGATACATAACTTCTGTTTCTCTACTATAGAAACTGAAATGTCCTTAAAATCTAGAGTGCTGCAAGGAAAAAGAAATGGGGACAGGAGTTAGGGTCGTGAGAAATTAGCTGATAAAAATGTATGATTTTTTAATATGTTTAAAAATAATGTATTAATGGTCATGACAACATGGATCAATCATTTAAAGCTCTTTAACTTCTCTGCATCTTTCCACTCACGCCTCACTCCACCCCCTCCCATACCACGCCTGGGTTGTTCCCACGGACCTTTCTCTCCTCCCCTTGTGCCCAGTCCCTCTTTCATGCCACTTCCTTGCAGAAGACGCACCAGAGCGCCCTGCAGGTACAGCAGAAAGCTGAGGTGCTGCTCCAGGCTGGCCACTACGATGCCGATGCCATCCGGGAATGTGCTGAGAAGGTGGCCCTCCACTGGCAGCAGCTCATGCTGAAGATGGAAGACCGGCTAAAACTGGTCAATGCCTCTGTGGCCTTTTACAAAACTTCTGAACAGGTGAGGGAAAGGGCTGTGGGGCTTGTGGGGCTGAGGTTGACAGAGGGCTATTTTCTGCCTTGCAGTGTAAATGTGCAGTCCTTAGGTCAGCAAGAAGCCAGTCCTCTTAGTACTAACATATGAAGAATGGTTTCTGGAAACACCACAGTTAGCTTCTTTATCATCCTTTCCATTTGAGCACTGGACCTTGTGATTTATTTTTCGTAAATTTCTCAAACTCATCAGATCTATAGGGAGATGTTGAAATAGAAATTGGGTATATACTGAATTCTCGATTTTGACAGTATATTAGTCAGCTGTTACCACCCTAGTGCTGTGTAACAAAACACCCAGAACTCAGTGATATAAAACAGTAAGCATTTATTTTTTTTGCTTAAGTATCTAGGATTCAGTTGATCTTGGCTGAGCTTGGTAGAACTAGGCTTTGAGCTACAGATTGGGTCTAGATCTGTTACCATGTCTCTTGTCCTTCTTGACCTGAAGCCATCTCAGGCACATTTATAGTTAAAGGCAGGAATGAAAGAATCCAAAATCTACCATACAAGTGCATTTCAAGTCTTTGCTTGTGTCATATTCTTTATTCTCTCATTGGCCAAAACAAGTCACATGGCCAAGCCAGCATCAGTGAGGCAGCAATACCTCCTATGAAGGTTAGGAGAGGAGAATGAATAGTTGCTGAACAATAATTAAATCTATCACAGTTAGACATTATGCACTGCTTGAAAAACACATGGTTCTTTCATTCCTGAGGCCCCCAGTCTATTGAAGGAAACACAGCTCTCTTTCATTGGGGAACTAGGAACATACCTGGTAAGATGGTGCTGCTGTGGGAGAAAAGGCAGGAATTAATAAATAATTCCTTTTGGTTTGTACAGCAATATGCACAGGGCTACGAGGATTTTTTAAATGACTTGGATGCTGTTAGGGAATTCTCTTTATGAAACAGAGGTTTTAAACAGGAGTAATTTTATTCAGTGTACAGTAGTTTCCTCCTCTGAATTCTCTGAATAAATCAGAATCATTCTCCTTGGGTGACTTACAGGGACCATTGGAAAGTCTGCCTTGGAGCAAATATAACATGTGTCTCAGAGGTCCCTGTAGCCAGCGTTAGAGTTTCCATCCCTTCTCCCAGTCCTTTCTGTTGTTTCAGAGAGATGACTCCTTTGATGGCCACAGAAGAGGGGAACTGCAGACTAAGATGATAAAGAGCTTCCTGAGTTGATCTATAGATTGAACCCAGTCTCAATCAAATCCCAGCAAGTTTTTTTTTTTTTTGTAGAAATTGATACATTGATTCCAAGATTTATATGGAAATAAAATGCAAATGCAAATAATACAAATGCAAAGAAATTAGAACAGCCAAAACAATTTTGAAAAGGAAGAACAAAGTTGGACAAGTCACACTGACTGATTTAAGGACTTATTCTAAAGCATCGGGGATCAAGACAATGGTATTTGGTGTAAGAATAAACACAATGAGACAGAATAGTGGTTATAGAAGTAGATCCACATATATACAGTCAGTTGATTTTTGACAAAACAATGAAGGAAAATATTTTCAACAAAGGATGCTGGGCAACTGAATATCCATATGGAAACAAATGAGGCTTAATTTCTGTCTATTATTATACACACATTTTAATTTGAGATGGATCAAGATGGTAAAGGGCACTGGAGTGAGTTAGGAAATTTTACCCTGAAGTGACCCTGCTGACGGTTACTTTACCCCTCTGGATTTATTTTTCCTCACGCGTTAAATTAAAGTATTTATACCTAATAATCTTTTCATTTCTTCTGACTCCCAAATTGTTTGGTCCTAAGTTCAATCCTATCATGAGAGAGATCTCAGGTACTCTTTTTATTAAAATTTTGCATGTCTATAAGCTGTTTTATCACAAAACATGAGCCTGCCTGTACATTTCAGGCCTTGCAGAAAGAAAGGTGTGGTGCTGGAGATGGGACTAGAGAAGTCACCTCAAGTACAGTGACAGATCGTCTCGTGACATGAGAAGCATGTCTGGCTGTGAGGGTGTTCTTCCTGGGACAGCTTTCAGCACATCTTTTAGCTCAGTTCATAACTCAGTGAATGCCCATCCCAAGGCATCTTTCATCTGGCCAGGCATGGTGGCTCACTCCTGTCGATAATCCCGGTACTTTGAGAGGCCAAGGTGGGTGGATCACTTGAGGTCAGGAGTTCGAGACCAACTTGACCAACATAGTGAAACCCCATCTATACTGAGAATACAAAAATTAGCTGGATGTGGTATTGGGTGCCTGTAATCCCAGCTACTCAGTAGGCTGAGGCAGGAGAATCACTTGAACCTGGGAGGCAGAGGTTTCCTTGAGCTGAGATCATGCCGCTGTACTCTATCTAGCCTGGGCGACAAAGCTAGACTCCATCTCAAAAAAAGAAAAAACAAGATATCAACGACATCTTTCATCAAAAGAATTTCTCAGAGAAGGCCAAGGATAGTCATAGCTGTTCTTCCCTGCTGCCATATCCAAACAAGTAATCAAGGTCTATTGAAGGAAATCCAATATCCATGTCAATGGGGTATTGGTTCCAGGATCCCTCACAGATACCAAACTCTTCAGATGTTCAAGTTCCTGATATAAAATGGCATAGTACTTACGTATAACCTATATATATACTCCCATGTACTTTAAATCATCTGTAGATTACCTATAATACTTAAGTATTATAAGATACTTATATTAATTATACTTATAATGCTTAAGTATTATAAGTAGTGCTATATAAATGGTTGTTACACTGTATTGTTTTTATTTGTATTATTGGTTTTATTTATTTATTTTTTTGAGACAGAGTCTCACTCTGTTGCCCAGGCTGGAATGCAATGGTGCGATCCTGGCTCTGCACCCTCTGCAGGAAATGTGTATTTTGTAATAGAGGTCCTGGAGATGTTATGTCTTATGGTTGGATTTTTTGAGACATTTTTCTCCAGGGAAGGAAAGAGATGACATTCATTTATGACCCATAAACCATACAAGATAGGCAACTTCCTCTTTTGTCTCTGCTTGAGGCTACTTACTATGGGACAAGTACAGATGGTTGGACAAGTCAAGTATCTTTTCCAAACCTCATTTCTTGTTCTACCTAATTTATAGTTATTGTGAATTTATAACAATATAATACATAAAAACACTGAAACTCCAAAGATACTAGACTGTCTTACTTTCTTACTCTACCTACTATTCCTAGTTAATGTCAGCAACCTTAATAAAAAGATGATTCTGGGCCGGGCGCAGTGGCTCACGCCTGTAATCCCAGCACTTTGGGAGGCCGAGGTGGGCGGATCACAAGGTCAAGAGATTGAGACCATCTGGCCAACATGGTGAAACCCCATGTCTACTAATAATGCAAAAATTAGCTGGGCATGGTGGTGCGCACCTGTAGTCTCAGCTATTCAGGAGGCTGAGACAGGAGAATTGCTTAAACCCGGGAGGCGGAGGTTGCAGTGAGCTGAGATTGTGCCACTGCACTCCAGCCTGGTGACAGAGTGAGACTCTGTCTCCAAAAAAAAAAAAAAAAAAAAAAAAGATTCTGAAATCCATATCTCCAGTAATTATGTCTCCCAGGTTTCAGACACAGGACTGTCATTGCCTCCTGGGCTTCTCTTAGATATCTGAGAGGCACTAAACTTCAAATGAAAAATGTCACCTGTGTAGGGTTCTATAGGATGAAGGTTCTCAGAGAATGCTTCCTAATTAATTTACTGAGTCTTTTCTTCCATGATTCACTAGGTCTGTAGTGTCCTGGAGAGCTTAGAGCAAGAATACCGGAGAGATGAGGACTGGTGTGGTGGACGAGATAAGCTGGGGCCAGCGGCAGAGATCGACCATGTCATTCCACTCATCAGCAAACATTTGGAACAAAAGGAGGCTTTTCTTAAGGTCAGAGCACATTGCCATGCAAGATCTCAGACTCCTGGCCTTGGCCTTCTTTCATCCTTTCTCTCTCTCTCACTCACACAAACATACACACACACAAACACACAGAGCTTCAAACATGCTTCCTATCCCCCTTTTTTTCTGACCTCTTCCCTAAAGGGGGAAGGGAGTATAGTGAAGATGTTGATTGGTTAATGTGAGAGGGTGAAAGGTTATTCTTCCAACATTTATTTCTCTCTTAGCACTTTTTGTATAGTTAGGCAATCACTTTTTGTATAGTTAGGCAATCACTTTTTGTATAGTTAGGCAATAATTGGGATATCTGCTGTAATCTAGATATCCCAATATCCCATGGGTAGTGTTAACTGAGAAAAAGGCATGCTTCATTCAGTTGTGTTTTGCTAATTAAATTATTTTTATAGTAATATTGAAAAGATATAAGCTTAAATATAAAACACGATTAAAATATTTTATAAATGGAAGATACAAAATTTTAGGGTAAGAATTAAAGAAATGAATTTGGATGCCCTATTTATTTATTTATTATTTATTATTGGTAATCTAGCAATTACCAATACACGTAACACTATTATTATTGGTAATCTAGCAATTACCAATACACGTAACACTATTCATTCTTCTGTATTAAGAGAAAAATGCCTTATTCCGAGTATTCTCCTAGAGCCCTGCCTTCTGAGGGAGGAAGCACAGGCCTGCTCTGCACAGATTGTCAGCTGGTGTGGGAAGTCCTTGTGAGCCTCTTTCCCCAACCTTTGATCTTCTCCTCTGATCGCCTGTTCTCTTCTGTGTTCAAGCTCATCTGAAAGCTCCATTTGCTCTCAGATTTCTTGCTTTCATGTTCTGCTTCCTTTCAGGTTTCTGGGAATAGAAGAGATCATTTTTATACCCTGACATGTTGCCATTGATTTTATTCCATTCTGTAATTAACTGCCTTTCTTTTTTAGGGATTTTCTCTACTTCACCACCACTTTGAGCTTAATTTTTATTATTTTTTTAAGCTGGCCTCTCCCTGCCCTCCTACCAACTATCTGATATCTGCACCTGTACTGGTCGGAACCTTTAGTAATCAGCTCTTATTAATAAGACTAAATAGAAATTCTTCTGTGCAGGGCTTATGATGATTTTTTAAAGTTTTTTCTATTAAAAAGCAAATTTTAAAATGAAACAATTTAAGTAGAGCATATAAAAATCTCAAATAGAAGTAAAAAATATTTCTTCATAAAACTAAAAGAAAATGTTTCTTTTGAAGAAAGAATAAGAAAATCCTCTGGTCTGATGTTTTCCATATGTCCCTAAAACCATAGTGAGAAGCTCCCTATCACTGTGGGAATTATATGCCCAACCAACAGATAGAATATGAGCTGTTTGTATTCATTAGTTGATCTGTTTGAAACTCCTTAGGCTAAGACCACCATTAAGCTGTTGTATTCAGGAGTCTCTGTGTTCATGGACTCACTAGCAGGCGTTTGTGTACCAGATATCCCCAGATGCCCTTGTTGCTGGTTTTTTAATATAACCAGAAAATTATAAAATTTTATAATTATGTTTCTGTTAATTATATAATAATTTTTAATTATATAATTTGTAGGATCAGAGGGAAAATATGAGATTCTAAAATTTAACACTTCAGGGTATGTAGAAGAAAAATATAAAATAAAATTTCAAAAAAATGAAATAAAATTTCACGGTTTTATCTAGAGATAATTTAGTTCTGAAAATTATAGATTAAAAATTAGTATGCTACTATTTATTACTTTACAAACAGAAAACAAAAAGCTACTTTGTAGAGAAATTCAGAAAATACTAGGCTTGAGAGGAACAAGAAATGCTGTCAGTCATCCTAGATCCTACATATGAGTTGCTTTCTGACTTCTGCCCTTTCTGGGCTTCAGTCTTGTCCATCAGTACAACAAGGAGAATGTGACCAGCCCTCTCTCTGTCCACCACAGCTAATATGAATCATAAATGGAGTAGCTGATATAACAGCTGTTAGTTCTTTATGCAGACTGGCATTTCTCAACAATAGGATGCTTATTAGTGATATTTAGATGAGGGGGAACTTGATGGGCAAATAAGTTTGAAAAATGTTGGTACTTTCCATTTAGTTTTGGAATGTAGGGTTAATAGATATGTTTACCAAATTTACTTGCTCAAGTCTAATTCACACTGATTTTAAAGTAGGTTTATGTTTCCTGACTTACACCAGTGGCCGTGTAAGAGGTATTCTGGTGTCTGAGGAAAAGTAGGGTAAGAGTAAATGTTAGTAATGCTTGGTCAACATAGAGACAAGGGATGGCTGATTTCTGATTTTTATCTGAGATGGAACAGGCAGAGACACAAGGAGTAATTCTTCACTTGACAAAAGGAAAGCTTAGAAAGGTTAGCTCCATAAATTGGAATTGTAGTCTCTGTGAAGCAGTGATGACATTCAGAGCTCTGCTCTTTCCAGATTCCTTCAGAGTTCTTGAGCCTCCCAAAAAGTACAAGGAGGGGCTAGGTGCTATGATTCACACCCATAATCCTAGCACTTTGGGAGGCCAAGGTGGGCAGATTGGTTGAGCCCAGTAGTTCAAGACCAGCCTGGGCAACATAGTGAGACCCCGACTTTACGAAAAAATGCACAAAGTTAGTCAGGTGCGATGGTGAGTGCCTGTAGTCCCAGTTACTCAGTAGGCTGAGATAGGAGGACTACTTAACCCTGGGAGGTCGAGGCTGCAGTGAGCTATGATCATGCCACTGCACTGCAGCCTGCGCAAAAGAGTGAGACTCTGTCTCAAAAAAACAAAAAGCAAAAAAAGGAAAAGAAAATGTCGAAGGAGGGTACGCCTTCTCTAGTGTCTTGGATTCCATACATCTGCCACCTGCTGGGACAGGGGCCTCACAGCTTTGTCTTTCTCAGGCCTGTACCCTGGCTCGGCGGAACGCTGAGGTGTTTCTCAAGTACATCCACAGGAACAACGTCAGCATGCCCAGTGTCGCCAGCCACACTCGGGGACCCGAGCAACAAGTGAAAGGTCAGTGAGAGACCTGCCCAGCCACCAGTCACTGCAGCAACAGCCCTTCCCTGAAATCTTCCATGTACCCAGTTTTCACACAATCTCAAACTTCCTGATGCTTCTCCTTAGAGAAGAAAGTGTGTAATGTGGGATAGTGTGGGCAGTAGTGATTCATGGTTAATTTTTAAACATGCGTTAAGATCTGGAATGCAAAAACAAGGATGAAATTTCCCCAAGCATTTTCCTTTGTCTTAGAGTCTGGGCAGCACTGCCTAGTGGAAGTTTCTGAAATAATGGAAATTGCCTGTATCTACGCTATACAATACAGCACCTATTGAGCACTTGAAATGTGGCTAGTGCAACTGAGGAAACAAATTTTAACTTTCGTTTAATATTAACTAATTTAAATGTAAATTACTGAATGTAGCTCATGGTTAATAAATTGAACAGCATAAGACTAGGGTACTTATAGCCTAGGAACAGAATGTAGACTGAGGATCCTAAAACCAAATGCTAACCCTGGATTTATCACAGATTGATTAAGCCTTTTAAAACTTTAGTTTCTTATTTAAAATGAGGGGAGCATCTAAACTCTTGCTACTCCAATTGTAGTTTCCAGACCAGCCCCATTGACATCCCTGGGAGAGTGTAAGAAACATAGAATCTCAGGCCACACCCAAACCTACTAAGTCAGAACTGAATTTGGCACTTTGGGAGGTTGAGATGGGAGGATTGCTTGAGGTCAGGAGTTCAAGACCAGCCTGGGTATCATAGTGAGACCCTGTCTCTACAAAAAATTAAAAAAAATAGTCTAGTATGGTGGCATGCCTGTAGTCGTAGTTACTCAGGAGGCTGAGATGGAAGGATCATTTGAGCCCAGGAGCTGGAGGCTGCAGTGAGCTGTGTTTGCACCAGTGTACTCCAGCCTGGGCAATATGAGACCCTGTCTCAAAAAAAAGAAAGAACAACAAAAAAGAACAAAGAAGCTGCATTTTGGTAAGAACTGCCCAATTTTACCAACCAGGTGATTTGTGTGTTCATAAAATTTAGATAAGTACTGTTCTACATAATCTTTAATAATCTCTCTCAATTCTAGAAAGTCTCTGATAATAAATACATAACTTTAAACAATTGCTTATTATCTGACCATGTGAAACTTAAATCATGATCTGTGAAATTATTCTAACCATGCAGAAATTAGCCCTTGAGTGGGTGAAGAGTTTAACAAATGTCACCTTGCCAAGGCAGAGAAATATAACTCTGGAGCACGAGGCTAGAGAGGGAACCCAAGCCAACTTGGAGTGAGGAGTGGTATGGGCTTGGAGACACCATGGACAGGGTAGGGTACGTGGTCTGCTTAAGAAGGGCTTCCCTCTTTGCTCAGGTAGCTCAAGAGTTGGAGAGAACAGAGGCCATTGGAAAGAATTAAATCTAGGAATCAAATTTCCCTACAGAGAGGAAGGAGCAGAGTTCCTCTTCCAAATGTGATATTCTATTTGTGGTCAGGGGACCTGTGGGGAGCTGGTATTATGTCACTTCTCCTTCTAGCACATTTGAAAGCATATGTTCTGGCTTCCAAATCCAGACAGGAGCTTGGGTGAGGCCAGCTGCCTACTGAGAGACCACATATCCCACCTACACTTCTGAGTGCTGAAGAATAACAAGCACCCAGAGACAGTGGGAAATGCCTACATCTTGGAGGCAAGACCAGGTTGTTACCTATGTGAAAGCTTTCAAGAAGAGAGGAAAAAGAATCTTGAAACTCGAGGATTTCTGCCTGATCTAGGTTGATTCTCTTAGCCACACCATAGAGGGAGCTTCAATGAGCAAAACTCTGGCGAGGGAATACAAAGACTAGAGGAAATGAGTTTCCACTCCTTTCTTGCCCAGTTGAAGCTGAGCAGGGACCTATAATCCCTTATATATCAGTTCCCTTTTCACTTACTACCTAGACTCAAAGCCAGTGCCACATATTTTTGGCTTCTTTATACTGCTGGTTGTTATATGGCTACATAACAACCCCGAAATTCAATGATATCCAGCTGTAAGCATATATTCTTCAAGTGGCTGTGCATTGGCTGGGGAGCAGCATCTTAGCTGGGCTCAGCAGTGCAGTTGTGCTTCAGGCTGTAAGTCTAGCTAGCTTAGCTCCTTCACTCCAGGTAAGGTCTTGTTTGCTCCATGTGTATTTATTTTGGGACCTGGGTGGAAGGGGCAGCAGTTACCCAGGAGGAGTTCCTATAGTGGTGATACAAGATACAAAGTCAAGTCTACAACTATGTTGCAAGGCCCTGCTTATGTTTTATCTGTTAACAGCTCATTTGCCAAAGCAAGTTATATGGCCAAGCCAGAGATCAATTGGGGAGTGAGAAACTGTACTTGCCTCTTTGGGAAGGAATGAAAAAGTGATACGATAAAGGCATAGATACAGGGAAAGGTGAATAACTGGACCCATAAAAGACTGGGCACAGTGGCTCACACCTGTAGCCCTAGCACTTTGAGAAACCGAGGCAGGAGGATCACTTGATCTCAGGAGTTTGAGACCAGCCTGGGCAACATAGTGCAACCCCCATCTCTACAGAAAAATATATACAAATTGGCTGGGTGTGGTGGCATGTGCCAATAGTCTCAGCTAGTTAGGTCCTGGCTGAGGTGGGAGGATTACTTGAGCCTGGGAGGTTGAGGCTGCAGTGAGCTATGACTGCACCACTGCACTCCATCTTGGGTGCCAGAGCCAGACCCTGTCCCAAAAAAAAAGCATTCAGCCTAAAAGATGAAAAACAGATTCTATCCTCAGAAAGGCAAACTTGGCTGGGGAGGTGGGGATGAAGGGGTATGAAAAGTACATAAAATCAACAAAAGCTCCATCTTCATAAAGCACAGAAACTTTATAGCCCCAGTAATGTGGGAGACCGAGGTGACTAATAACTCAGGCTCTGAAGTCAGATCTGACCTGAATCTGAACTCTGCCCTTTCCTACCTGAATGACCCTGAGCTAGTTACCTTCCCTGAGCTTTCTCAAAAGCTTTCTCTAAATCTCAGTTTTCTCATCTGTATAATAGGGATAATAATGGTGCATGCGCTGTGGGGTATTATAAAAATGAGTGTCTTCCACATACTGAGTATGTGATAAATATTATTCATATGCTTATTATTTATTTTGTTACCATCTAATATGGCTAGCAGGAAGCAGGAGAAAGATAATAAAATACATTTGATTGCTTCCAGCATAGAACATACTATTTAAAACACTTAAGACATCTACCCATGTACCCAGCTACTCTTGAAACAACAGAAAATGTAGAGAGGGAAATAGCATGGGCTGAATACCTAACCCTGGCCCACTTGCAGTGCTGCATGCCTTGTGTATACTCTCATTTAACATCACTTTTAGCTTTTCTAATGATCAGATCCAAAACAACACGGGCCCAGAGACAACATGAAAATATAATTCCAACACAGCTTCCCTGTGCCCACTATTTAGAAGTGTTTAAATTGAGGCTGTGCTGTTAAAAGTGCTGTGTGCACAACCTCTTGGGCAGGTCCGAGAACATGGTTCATGATGTGGGTTGCCAAGCCAATGACACCAGCCCTCATTCCACTGTAAGTCTCTTGCCTCTCTTCCAGTGAGTCCTTAAGAATGACTAAGATTCCCGTCAAGATTCACCCATGCTCATTAGACTCTGGGGGCCAGTTTAATAAATTGCTATTTTAGGAACTGACCCTTCCTAAGATTTCTTAGAACTAAGGACTGATTTTGCTATCAAGAAAATCGGGGTTATTTGTAAGTCACTGCTGTCATATTCTTCCCACCTTAGTTGAAGGAACTCTCATCACTTGGCTCTCCCCCTAGTCTGTTCAACCTTGCTCCTTTCTAAGAAATCCTTTCTATATCCAGCTTTTGCTTCCTTTCTTCTGATGCTGGATTAGTCTCATGGGGAGGAGGCTTGAAGTACAGTCATGGTCACCTGGGCCATGGGGCTGAAGGAGTTGTTTGGATTTGCTCAGTGCCTCTTGTGACCGTGATGCATCTCCTCTGCCCACAGCCATCCTGAGTGAGCTCCTGCAAAGGGAGAATCGCGTGCTGCATTTCTGGACTTTGAAGAAGCGTCGGTTAGACCAGTGCCAGCAATACGTGGTGTTCGAGCGCAGCGCTAAGCAGGTTGTCCAAAGCTTTCCCTGGCTCTATCTCAGTTCTTTAGATCATGCAGTGGCCCATCACCAAGGCTTAGTCCAGAAAAGGGCCACAGCAGCAGGCAAATTGGGGATAGGAGGGAGAAAGTAAAGAAGAAAAGAAAATAGGTTGTCACTTGTCAGCAATTCAGCATTTACCAAGCTCTCTGTTTTGAGTTTGGTACCAGGAGATGTGAAGAAATGCTAGATCACCCGCTATGCCCCTAATTCATGGATGATGTTGGGCCTGGCCTAGAAGAGTCCCAGTCTACTGGAGGAGACCCTCTCTTTGTGGGATGTTCCAAATTAGGGGAAGGTTCAATCATAAAAAAAAAAAACCTCCCAAGTTACGTACCAATCAAATTGTGTCAGTGTTTCCTGGGTCCATTAAGTTGTCCCAACAATAACCTTCATTATAGTATGACATGTTTTCCTACTGACAGCTGCCTTTTGGGGAACTGGATGGGTTGTTTCCTCCCATAGGCGCTGGACTGGATCCAAGAAACAGGTGAATTTTACCTCTCAACACATACCTCCACTGGAGAGACCACAGAGGAGACTCAGGAACTGCTGAAAGAGTATGGGGAATTCAGGGTGCCTGCCAAGGTAGGAAACATCCCAAACCTTTTCCCAAATCTACCCAGAACTCTTCATTCTGGCCAATTTCACATTTTAGAAGGAAAGACAGCTTCTGTAAGCAAAAATGCTCAGCCACAGTGGGGTTGGGGAAGCATGTAAATGTCCTAAGGGATTGTCTGCTTAGAAACCCGAATACTCAAAGAATTGCCACTGCTGGGTAGAGCAGCTGTATGCAGAAAGTCAACTGCTATACACTGTGCTTCCAAATACTCATCTTCATGCTCCAGGTTCTGGAATTTGCCATATTCTTTCAGACCGAATCAGGTAAAAGGATGTATTCACATAAAAATGTTGCATGTGCATGTGAACACTGCACATATCCACATATTCTTGCAATTTGAGTGGCTTGGGATGTCCACCTTATTGGAAGGGCCAGTGACTATGGATACACAAAACAGGTGAATTTCTTATTTTCTGAGCTATTTCCATCTGGCCTCACAACTGCTCATGAGCTAGTATGTACATCCTTGCATGTTTTGCTCTCCAGAGACCTGCTCATTAGCTGGGTCTCTGGGGAGCAAAACATGCAAGGATGTACATACCAATTCATACCAAGATTGTGGGGAAGGCTATAATAGAAGGATACCTGATTTTCATGTTTTCACAGCCAGGATTTGATCTGAGGATACTTGGATTTGAATGAAAATCTGATCTGTCTCAAGTTCCTCTTTGCAGTATCCTCATCTCTCACACAGGGCTCCTTGCCACATAGGAGCCTTTTTTTGGCATCACTTCTACACATAGCAGACACTCTTCCCAGGTTGAGAGATGTTCTTATTGGGGTCAAAGTGGGAAACATATCCTACCAAGAGATCCCTCGGGCAGTATAAGGAATGTTCCTCTAGTTTGGTGTGACAAAATTAGGCCCTTAGCCTCATTCCTGAACTGACATTTCAGAAGTGATTATCTACTCTATGAATCCTATCCTATGGACTCTCCATACTGGGGAGCCTTTCCTTGCAACCTTGTGAGCTTTGGGCATTTTTCCCTAATGTGAAAAGCTATTAGCACAGATAAGAGACTCATTTCAATACCAGCAAAAAGCAAACAGCACAAAGAAAGTGGCAGATGCACAGAACCCTATTCAAATCCAAATTAAAATGGCTTGTGAATGAACAAGTTTGGCTCTATCCGCCCCTCTCTAAATAGGGTCGATAATGAGCCATTGACAGGCTGAATAGTATCAGATCCATTGGTGTTTCTGTCTGCATAGGATGGATCACAGCAGATACCCAGAATTTCATAGGGTCAAAATCTTTTCGTAATCAACATGGTAATGTGGAGAATTATTCAGTCAATCTTATTCATCCTTCCTTTGTAACCTTCTTCATATGTTTCTCCTCTTTCACATTCATGTAGCTACTACCCTAAGCTGTAGTAGTTTCCTAATTGGATTGCATGCCTTTGGCCTTTCCTTCCTTCCTATCCATCCTGCCCTTCATTGCTGTTCATCTTTAAAATGCTACGTTGGTTATATAACCATCCAGATCAAGAACTTTAATGATTTTCCAATTCCTTTAGGATAATACTGCACAACTCTACAGCTGTACCACCCTACCTCCCTAACTTTATCTTCAATTATTATTTTATTCAGAATTTATGCTCCAGCTGAATGGATGTGTTCTCTTGCCCTCTGAGGGATACATCATATACTTTTTGGTCTATGTGCCTTTTTGGTACATTTCTCTGCCTGGAATACCCTTTCCTTCCCTCTAGTTTGTGCTTTTTAAGAGGATCCCCTGTTTCCACTCTAGAGCCTCCTCCTCTGTGATCCTGCCCACATACCAGGATATGATCCAGCTCATCCTTGCGCTACAGCCCTTGTCCGTATAACCCTTCACCTGGCACAGACCATCTCTCCTCCAGTAATATATGCAATGTTATGTCCTGTGTAAGCCAACAGGATACTGAAAGACAAGAACCACACTATTCATCTTGAGTTCCTTAGGTTACCTGACTGCATCTTACACATTCAAGGGAGGCTATAACCATTCAGGAATATAAGGAAAAAAGGAAGTTTGAGTAGATCACTCCCCCTCAGTTATATTTAATGTCAGTCTTCTACTTTGGCTTTGTATGTTCTCTGTCCCTCCCGACATAGCTATTATGTTCCAAATCTCAGGGTTGTTCATATTAGACTATCTACAGGTTAACAATCCCAGCCGAGGAGCTTCTGATTAGAGGCAGCAGCCTCCTGCCCCACCCTAGTCCCACTTTCCAGAGGTAAACCTCTTCTAATCAGCTGTCTTTGATTATAATCTTCATAACCAATAAAATGAATTTGAAATGGAAACCAAATTGACCTTTAACCACAAGAGAATACATATGGTGGCCCTTATGGTTGAATAGGGTAGTGGAGTTCATTAAATTTGATATTCTGCTCCAAAGGAACATATCAAGTAGAAGAAACATTGCATATAAAAAGATACTTTCTATATAAAAGTTCACAAATATAAGAAAAATGAGATAAAAAAAGTTTGGATGAGGAAAAAAGGAAAACATAATATTCATATTGTGATATGCCTATAGACAGTCCATTAAAAAAATAGAAAGATATTTTCCTATTATGGGTTTAAAAATGTATCAGGGTCAAGGCACATGGGGATGGAAAAGCTTAGTCATCATGACACTTGGAAGAATTCCATTTCTTCTAAAATTAAAACTTGTTTAGATTATTTTGTTTTTTGTTTTTTCCAATTCCATAGTTTTTACTATATTCACAAGGTTGTGCAAACATTGCCACTGTTTAGTTCCAGAACATTTTCACTACCCTAGAAAGAAACCCCTCGCCCATTAGCAGTCATTCTCCTTTCTCTACTCCCCTCAATCCCTGGCAACCACTCACCTGCTTTCAGTCTCTATGGGCTTGCCTGTTTGGGCATTTCATAGAAATGGAATCATACAATATGAGGTCTTTTGTGACTGGCTTACTTCCCCTAGCCTAATGCTTTCAGGATTCATCCCTGCTTATAGCATGTATCAATCCTTTTTTCCTATTCATTGCTGAATAGCATGTCATTTCATTGATATACTTCTTTTTGTTAACCAGTCATCAGTTGACAGGCATTTGGGTTGTTTCCAGCTTTTGGCTATTATGAATAATGCTGCTATAAACCTTTATATTCAAATTTTGGCATGAACATATGTTTTACTTCCCTTATGTGCATACCTGGGAGTGGAATAGCTGGGTTATATGGTGTTCTACTATGTTTAACTTGTTGAGGAACTGCTAAACTGTTTTCCAAAGTAGCTATACCACTTTATACTCTCACCAGCAATTTGTAAGGGTTCCAATTTCTCCACATCCTCACCAACACTTGTTATTGTGTCTTTTTATATAGCCATCCTAGAGGGTATGGAATGGTATTCATTGTGGTTTGGATTTGCATTTGCCAATAACTAATAATGTTAAGAAAATACTTTTTTTTTTTTTTTTGAGACGGAGTTTCACTCATGTTACCCAGGCTGGAGTGCAATGGCGCGATCTCGGCTCACTGCAACCTCCGCCTCCTGGGTTCAGGCAATTCTCCTGCCTCAGCCTCCTGAGTAGCTGGGACTACAGGCACTCGCCACCATGCCCAGCTGATTTTTTGTATTTTTAGTAGAGACAGGGTTTCACCATGTTGACCAGGATGGTCTCGATCTCTTGACCTCGTGATCCACCCGCCTCGGCCTCCCAAAGTGCTGGGATTACAGGCGTGAGCCACCGCGCCCGGCCAAGAAAATACTTTTTAAAGCTGGTGACTTCATCTCTGAAAATGAAAGAAGCCATGAGATAAACTGGACTTAATTCATCTTGACAAAAGAAAATTAAGCAGTAATGAAAACGACTGGAGCCTTAGCTGAACTAAATTATGTTTTCTTGGGATTCAGATAGCAAGGAAAGGGAAGATACATCATATACTTTTTGTCTATGTGCATTTTGGTCTATGTGTCCGACACTGGGGATGTCAGACAATACTTTAGACCGAGAGAGGTAGAATCTAAACAGTTCAGGTAAAAGATAGGCATGATTCTGTTCCTGAAACTCTTTTTTTTTTTTTTTGAGACGGAGGTTCACCATCCATGCTGGAATGCAGTGGTGTGATCTCAGCTCACTGCAACCTCCGCCTCCCAGGTTTAAGTGATTCTCCTGCCTCAGCATCCCAAGTAGCTGGGATTACAGGTGCTAACCACCACACCTGGCTAATTTTTGTATTTTTAGTAGAGACGGGGTTTCACCATGTTGGCCAGGCTGGTCTTGAACTCCTGACCTCAGGCGATTCACCTGTCTTGGCTTCCCAAAGTACTGGGATTACAGGCGTGAGCCACCACGCCTGGCCTTTCTGAGACTCTTAAGAGGAATGTAGCTTGTATGTGATGGAAATTTTTGGTTCTTTTATGTATAATAACAAACAGTCCCCTGCCAAATGAATCAGAAGATGTGTTTCAAGAAACCTGTTCACTTGCACGAGGAGCTCAGTAAATTCATGTCACAAAAAATACATTGATAAGGAATATCAATATTCCTTATGATTATCTCATTATAAGGAGTATCAATAATGAAAGGCAAATATGGAAGATTATAATGAGATTATAAGATTACTATCAAGAAGACAAAATCTAAAAGACTTGTAAAATGTGCTAAAGTCAAAAGGGCTTTTAAAAAGTTTATTCAGAGTGAGGCTCACTGATTAGAGGAAGATTATAACCAAAGGAAAAAAGAAAGGAAAGGAGGAAAAGAGAGGGATGGGAGGGAAAGAGAGAAGGATAAATAGAAAAAATAGAATCACTGAATCCCTCTTTTGAACCTCTGTCTTTTCCAGCAGATAACTAGAATTCAAAATGGAAAGGCAAAACATATATTAAGGGACTCAGGTCTAGATTTCCTGGCCCAGATGAATTATGGTACCCAAAGTTTCCCTTCTGGCCACAAGATCATGTCCATACTTCTGAATGTATCATTCAAGAACTGCTGCAATCTGATCCCCATTATACTAGTTTATATAAGCTACTGTCTTCGGAGGAAAGATTTGAGTTTCAGATGGGCTTAGGTTGAAAGGGAAAAGATATTGTATGACCATGTATAGAAATAAAGAAGAGAGAAGCGACGTGGCTGAACCTCCCCAAAACCCAGAAAAAGCTCAGTGACTCAGCCCCATGCGAAGAACGAGAAATGTGGCATAGTGTCACCTCTGGACATGAAAACTGGAATGTCACCTGAGACCAAGGGCAGCTCAAGCAGTCACATCATCTGGTCCCCGTCTCAGAGCAGAGCACCAGAATCTGTGTAATGTTTACCATTTCTATGCCTCAGCTTCCTTTTTCTTCTTCCCCTCTGCTTTCTGTGATTTCACTTCTACTCGCAACCAATCACTAGATCCCTATCTGTGCAGTTTAAATCCTCAGGGAAACAACCTCAGTTAACCCACACCCTATTTAGACATAGCTTTTAGGCCAGCACACCTTAGATAGAAGTTACTGGCTGCACCTTGATGGGCTGCCCTCATAAGACAAGTTTTTACCTCTTATCTCAAAAGCTGTAACCAGGCATTTAGCAGGTCATGTGCTGCTACCACAATCATCTATGTATAAGAAAACATTTTAGAATACCCCCAGTGGGGACCATGGCCATGGTTGGTGTCTCAGTGGGCTTATCCAATTCATAGGACAAATTTATCATCTACTTCTTCCAAAAAAGAACCTTTAATTCTTGCTGATCTAGCTTTACTCACCTCCAAACACAAGATTTGCTCATTCATTTATTCAGACAACATTGATGGTATGCTTACTATTTTCTAGACACTGGAGATACACAAAAGAATAAGATGTAATACTTAAGGGTTCATGGTCTAATAAAGAAGACATATAAATAATATGATATATGCTAAAATTGAAGCATGTATGTGATACTGTGGGAGCACTGGGAAGGGCCTCTCCCACTTGTCTTGTGGGGAGGAGAGGAGAGGAAAAAGGGTATTGGATCAAGAGTAGGGATGAGTAGGAACCACTCATCACAGCAGGAAGGGCATGTGACATTCAACATGGCTGCAGTGTAGGGAATGGAGAACAGTGGAGACAGGGCTGCTGCAAAGGTAAGTGGGGCCACATGGGGAAAGTCCTGTCTACACTGCTCGTTTTACTGTCTCTTTGCCCCTCTAGGCCCCACACATACCTAGAATACTCCTGGTCACAAACCATTTGCTTTGTTGACTCTGAATCACAATTTTGATGCTTTAGGATATAATTTTCTCTGATAGAACTGCCCTAATATGGCTGCTGCCATCAACTGGCTGTAAAACCCTTTCTCATTGGTGGAGTCACTTTACCAAGAGCAGAGAATATGTATTTCCAAGACTTTTCATAAAACTTGGTGTTTAAGTAAATATAAAGCCAAAGAAAACTGTTTTCAGGAAAAATGAAAATAAAAAACACCCTACATGCAGTAAGATGAAAGTTCTCAGGATGCCTAGACACTGGAGATACACATATGAATAAGATGATTAAAAAGAGGAGTTGAGTAATTATAGTTTAGATAGAATTAAGTAGATTCTATTTTGAATATAATCTGCTAATTCTCAACCAATTCCCTGTTATTACTCTGCCTTTTCATGGCTGAGGAGATGTTTCTGCTGTCTTCACACCCACCTCCTTTCCTTCACACCACAGCTCTCCTGGCCTTTATCTCCTAATGTCAGGCACCAGCCTACTGTCCCGAGATAGAAGAAGCTCCTATATACTGAGTGAGCTCCTGGAGAGCTGGATCCCTGGTCCCTGGCCATGCGTGCAGCAGGCAGAGCACTCTCCATTCGCCTCTCTGAAGCCCTCTTTTTCTGGCATTTCTTGGGAGGGTTGGTCTCTCATGGGAGGAGCTATAGATGAGCCTGGAAGGAGCAGGTGGGATGAGGATAATAGAATAAAGAAAGAAGGGCTCTTTTGTTTTTTCTCCTATATCTCCAGTGATGTCCTGCCTCAGTTTCCCTGTTAGTTAGATTGTAGCATGGTTTAAACCTTGGACCTACTTACCTCCAGTCCAAAAGACAATTTTTCTTCTTAGAGTAGTATTTAAACATTCTTTCCTTTTCCTGAGCAGTTTTAGAGTTTGAAAATCCAAACTTGAGATTTAAAAAAAAATGAGCAGCAGTCTGCTTATTGGATGTCTCTCTCATTCCCGTGTCTTTCCCAGCTTAAGTACTGCCTCTCCATGAGACCTTCCCCACCCATGCCTGTCCACCTTCATTTTCTCCTTTTAAAATTCCTATAGTGTTAACTCTACATTCTCCCATTTTGACATTCAATTATATAATGCCCTGAGTTATTTAACTACTCTGTATGAAATGAACATTTTTTTCCTTTTGTTTAACCCCCAAGCCTAGCCCTATAGCTCTCTACCCAGTACTATTGACCAACTAGGTATTGAACAAACTCTTGCTAAAAATGAAATTAACCCAGTAAACATCAGAGTTCTACTTTACCTAGTCCTGTGATAGATGGTGGCTTCATTAACTTCTTTCTCCTGCTCTCTAATGGAAACTAAAGACAAGATTCTGGTGGTGACAGGGACAGAGTTAACTCTTAAATCTGCTCATTGTATTTATTTAGATCCTGGCATGTGCCAACTTACATGATGTTTAGAACTGGTACAGTGGCGGGAGGGAACACTAGGAACTAAAGGGCAGAGATAAATAGGCTCTGTTGCCTACTGGTAGTATGAAGTTGGACCAACCCTAAGCCTCTCTAAGCCTCAGATTTTTTTCATCTGTGGTTCAAAGAGACCTGCATCACTTCCCTCCACCAGCTTCCTAAGGATGCATCAAATCTCAAATGGCTTTCAGAAACAGTAATACACTATGCAAATTAGTAAAGCGTACTAATGTAAGAGATTCTTACATCAATAATAATGGCTAATGTTTATGGCTTACTGAGTTCTTACTGTGTTCCACTGTACTAAGAATTCTATGTTTATCAACTCATTTAATACACCAACTCTTTGAAGTAGGATCAGCCCTCTGTATCTACGGGATTCAACCAACCATGAACTGAAAATGTTTTCTTCAAATGGATAGTTGTGTCTGTACTACATATACAGACTTTATTGTTGTCATTTCCTAAACCATACAGAATAACAACTATTTACTTGGCATTTACATTGCATGAGGTATTGTAAGTAATCTAGAGATGATTTGAAGTGTTCCTGAGGATGTGGGTAAGTTATAAGCAAACACTTGTTCTATAAGGAACTTGAGTATCTGGATTTTGGTATCCATGGGGGGTCCTGGAACCAGTCCCCCCCCCACCAACAACACTGGGGGACGACTGTACTATTATGGTTTCCTTTTTGCAGATGAAGAAATGGAGGCACAGAAGGTTTAAATAACTTGCTCAAAATCTCCCAGTTAGTAGTGATAAAGCTGGGATACAAACCCAGGTAGCCAGCTATGAGGTATCTATGGATGCCCTGAACAGGAAAAGAGGATTTGGGGTGAAGGGGCAGGAGAATAAATGTAATCCAATAACTTAAGGCCATCTTTTGGGGCAGCAAACAAAGGAGAAGGTGAAGCTTCTGATTCAGCTGGCCGATAGCTTTGTGGAAAAAGGCCACATTCATGCCACGGAGATAAGGAAATGGGTGACCACGGTGGACAAGCACTACAGAGATTTCTCCCTGAGGATGGGGAAGTACCGGTACTCCCTGGAGAAAGCCCTAGGAGTCAACACAGAGGTAGGCAGGGGCATTGGCCTCGGGACATCCTCCCTTCTCACCTCCCTGAGCACCATTGCCCTTGTCATCATGGAAGAAAAGCATGTTTCCAGAGCAGTACTTCTGAGCTGTTGACCCCTAGAAGACTTGCCTTGTGTGGCTTTTCTAGTGGGGAGTGGCAGGTGGATGTTGCTGATCCATTAACCTCCAGCCTCCTGTGATTAGTATTCTATACATTACAAAATCGACTGGCCAGTGTTGGGGCCTATGGCTACAGAACAGAGTTTTTCTCTGTATAGTGTTAACTGTTGACTTTGAGAACTAAAAGCTTTATCTTGGCTTCATAAATGCCGTCTTCCACCCAATTATGTTAATCAGCAAATGATTAGAGTCCCCAGTATATATAATAGTACTTTTTAAAGAATAAGGGGTACCATTTGTACAAGGGTTATTTGACGTTTCAACTGAACAGAGGTACAATTTGCCATGAACCAGGGCAGATAGACTTTTAATCTCTTCTTTATAATAGGGATTAGTAACCTGTGAATTAAGAGCTAAATACAGCCTGGCAGTTTAATCCTAGGATGTCTAGTTCTTAAATCTTCAAACTGGCTCATGATCTGAAGCAGAGCAGCATAGAGAGTGAAGTGGCCAAACCACCTAAAGTTAAGAGAGTTAATGTCTCCCCCAGGCTTTAATCTGTGAGTATTTATCTAGGAAGTTCCATCATATATAAATACCAAATAGTGGTTAAAATTAGCAGGGATGAGCGATGAGAAAGGTCAGCCATTTTTCTGTTACTTAGCTTTCTGTTTCCAAGGGAAATCACTTGTTTAAATAAATATATTTGGTTTGATTATTTTCTTTTGACAAATGAATGGCATTTTTATATCTTTATGTGTTTTTGTTTCACATATATTTTAAATGGTTAAGAATCAGCCTTAGACTAATTTATTGATGTGTGTAGATTTAATTAGGACCAAAGGCCTTGGGGAAATAGATACCTAATTATCAAATGTATTTATTGTTTTTTCTTACTGTGGATATTTTTTTTTTTTTGAGACAGAGTTTCGCTCTTGTTACCCAGGCTGGAGTGCAATGGCGCGATCTCGGCTCACCGCAACCTCCGCCTCCTGGGTTCAGGCAATTCTCCTGCCTCAGCCTCCTGAGTAGCTGGGATTACAGGCACGTGCCACCATGCCCAGCTAATTTTTTGTATTTTTTTAGTGGAGACGGGGTTTCACCATGTTGATCAGGATGGTCTTGATCTCTTGACCTCGTGATCCACCCGCCTCGGCCTCCCAAAGTGCTGGGATTACAGGCTTGAGCCACCGCGCCCGGACCTTACTGTGGATATTTACCCTAAACATTTGACCTGAACATTTTTTTTTTTTCTTATTTGAAAAAATAATAATGATCCCATGAAGAAGAGTGCTTATGGGCGTGAGTCTCTAAGATCCCTCATGTTTTTATCCTTCTCCATTATATCTTTTTCCCCCTTTTACTACCTCCCTCACCTCGAGTGAGTTGCTCTCCCGTAGCATCGCAAGGTGACCTCTGTGATCCCTCCATGTGCAGGATAATAAGGACCTGGAGCTGGACATCATCCCAGCAAGCCTTTCGGATCGGGAGGTCAAGCTGCGGGATGCCAACCATGAGGTCAATGAAGAGAAGCGGAAGTCAGCCCGGAAGAAAGAGTACGTGTTGGCTTCCGCCCAGCTAACTGGTTTCCAGTGACAATGCTGGGCTTTCACCACCACTTGTCCCTTTGGATAGCTTAATATGTCCTCGTGACCACCTACAGGGATTGGGATAGATAGACATAATGTTTGCATTGAGAATATGGGTTCCCTCTGAAGGCTTTTAAGTCTCTCCAGTCTGTCCTTCACCTGAATTCTCTTCATATATCAGTGACTTCGTAGACAAAACCTTCCTCATGGATCATCACATTTTACTTCACAAGCTCGAAATGACATGGAACAAACCAAATATTTTTTCTTTTCCTTTAATTCTCCTTTCTGATTTTCTTTTTTTTTTTTTTACATTTTTTAATTTTTAATTTTTTTGAGACAGAGTCTTACTATGTCACCCAGGCTGGAGTGCAGTGGCATGATCTCAGCTCACTGCAACCTCCATCTTCCAGGTTCAAGTGATTCTCCTGCCTCAGCCTCCAAAGTAGCTGGAATTACAGGCGTGCACCGCCATGCCTAGCTCATTTTTGTATTTTTAGTAGAGATGGGGTTTCACCATGTTGGCCAGGCTGATCTCTGACTCCTGATCTCAAGTGATCTGCCTGCCTCAGCCTCTCAAAGTGCTGGGATTATAGGCATGAGCCACTGCATCCAGCCTCTCCCTTCTGATTTTCTAATTCCCATTGATAGTGTCACTGACCCTCTAGTTTTTTTTTATCAGAAATCTGAATTATTTGCAAAAACTTCCCATAGCTTTTCTGGTGCTAGTCCCTGCCCAGTTCACCTGCACAGCGATGCCAAGTTTACCTTTCTGGAGTAACATTTTATTACTGCTAATACCAATACTCTTCCTACAACGAGCACCTACATTTGTTATGTCCTAAACGTTACATAAAGTGCCTTCACATACATTTTCTCTTTTTATCTTCCTATCACTTCTCTCGAGTATATATGATTATTCCCATTTTACATGTAGTAAGACTTAGAAAAGCCAAGTAACTTTCCCCAAACCACACAGATGGTGAGTATTGAAGCCAGAATTTAATCTAGCTTTGACTCTTCAATCTTCTTTGATTTCTTTCCATTATGTTTCTCACCAGTTTCAAATTTTAAATGGTTTGCTACTACCTCCAGAATAATGATAAAACTCCTCAAGGTGCTATCTTTTGGCCTCACCTAAGTCAATCTTACTTCAAAGTACTTTCTAGTTGAGATTACACCTTTCAGTCAGATCATTTTTACTGATTCCTCTCGGGTCTAAGAATAAGTTGTATATAATTGAGAATGCTCTCCTTTCTGCTTGTTTTCTTCCCTTTCATTTCCCTCCCTTTTTTTCTGTTTGGTTTTATTTTGCTCTCTGTAAGTCCTATTAATTCTTTAAAATCCAGTTCATATCATATGCCTCTATAAATCTTTTATCTACAACTCCCACTGTCATTGGACCATCTGCTTTATAAACTCCTTTACTTCTTTTCTGTACCAACTCCCATTTTCTTATTCAACCAGTTCATAAGCATACCTCTTTAACTAGATTGTAGACTCCTTGAAAACGAGGTATTTTATACTCTCTTGTATGAATCAAAAGACTAGGAGAATAATAAGGATAACATAATTATTGATCAAGAAAAGCTCATAGTCAGGCGGGGCATGCTGGCTCATGCTTGTAACTGGGAGGCTGAGGTGGGCAGATCACCTGAAGCCAGGAGTTCGAGATCAGCCTGGCCAACATGGCAAAAACCTGTCTGGGCCGGGCGCGGTGGCTCAAGCCTGTAATCCCAGCACTTTGGGAGGCCGAGGCGGGTGGATCACGAGGTCAAGAGATCAAGACCATCCTGGTCAACATGGTGAAACCCTGTCTCTACTAAAACTACAAAAAATTAGCTGGGCATGGTGGCACGTGCGTAGTCCCAGCTACTCAGGAGGCTGAGGCAGTAGAATTGCCTGAACCCAGGAGGCGGAGGTTGCGGTGAGCCGAGATCACGCCATTGCACTCCAGCCTGGGTAACAAGAGCGAAACTCCGTCTCAAAAAAAAAAAAAAAACCTGTCTTTACTAAAAAAATGTGAAACTTAGCTGGGTGTGGTGGTGTACATCTGTAATTCCAGCTACTTGGGAGGCTGAGGCATGAGAATCCCTTGAACCCAGGAGGTGAGGTTGCAGTGAGCCAAAATTACGCCACTGCACTCCAGCCTAGGCGACAGAGCAAGACTCCATCTCAAAATAGAAAAAAAAAAAAAGAAAATCTTACAGAATATAATTGGATATAGAAATTGAAACCTTGAGGAAAGGGCAAGACATTATCTAAAATCACACAATAAATAAGGACTGTAACATCAATTTCTTTACTTGAAGTTGAGGGTATATACCATTGGGCCAGAAGAAAATAAGGCATGCTTTAGGAGGCATTCCAATGCCAGATGGGCCCTCCCCTCACCTGGACTAGGTATTCAGATTTCAAAAGGAAGAAATAGATACTTGGGAATTGGTCCATTGAGTGAATTGTAGATGTTAGAATGTAAAGCTGCCACCTAAGTTTACTCCTAGGTCAGCAGCACTAGCACATGAGGAGATGAGGCAGAGGAAATGGGCAAGAAGAGAGTAGAGGATGCTGCGATTCAAACATTTTGGAAGAATCTGAAGTTGCCTGAGGTTTTCATAAATTGAACTCTGTTTTCTCAGAATAAGAATGAATAGGGGCCAGAATTTATTTAGCGAGCTGGAACCAACTTATCATTAGATTCCTGCTCTGCTCTCTAAGTATCTCAGCTCCACTCTCAGAAAAGTCCTGACTCCAGGTAGGCAAAACACATTTTTCTTCTTTGGTTGTTTGGTAGGGAATTGTCTACCAATATTTCACCCTAATCAAAAGTTATAGGGCATTGGAAAGAGGAAACAATGAACCGTGCCAATCTTATAAACCATTTCTTGACACTCTGCTTCCTTTATGTTGCCGTTACAGAGTCACACGTACCCAGAGTTTTCTGGAGGACTTTATGAAGAATGTTTTGAAACACTGTTTGGGAACTACTAGAAAAAAAAATAGTATGTTGTAAGATTGAAAACCTCTGTGTAGTTTCTTTGATCAGGATGAAGTAGGACCACAGGTTCCTTGGAGCTGAAGGAACTAAAGCTGCTCTGTGAAGTCAGAGCTTGTTCATATGGGGAGTGTATTCATTTGTCAGGGCTGCTGTAACCAAGTACCTCAAATTGGGTTGTTGAAAGAGCAGAAATGTGTTGTCTTACAGTTCTGGGGGCTAGAAGCCTAAATCAAGGTGTCAGCAGGGTTGATTCCTTCTGAGGGCAGTGAGGGGACAAGGGACAATCTGTTTTAGGCCTCTCTCCTTAGCTTGTAGATGGCTGTTTCCATGCTCATGTGGCATAATCCCAGAATATATGCCTATATCAAAAATTCCCCCTTTTATAATAACATCAATCTTTAGATTCAGGGGCAACTCTACTCTGGTACTACAGTGATACTGTTTCCAAATAAAACTAAAATCTGAAGTATTAGAGGTTAGGACTTCAGCATATGAATTTCAGGGGGGTCATAATTCAGTACATACCTGGGAGGGGAATGAGGGGACTACACCTGACCAGATTTCCCTCCTTGGTTCCTTCTGTGACACCTAATAGCCAGAAGAAATTAAAGGATGGATGGAAAATAAAACAAAATGGGGTGGAATAGCAGCGCTAAATTGTGCAGAAAGACAGGTAAAACTGCAGGAAGCAGATGGAAGCAAAAGAACAATTCCAGAAAACCTAAGGCAGTACAATCAAAGGCAAGCCTGTCAGTTTATGTTCCTTCTGATCTCCCTTCTATCCTAGTTTCATAGCAATCTATAGCTCATTTAATCATGAAATGTTTCCTGAGCACCTACCATGCACTAGGCATGTTGCTTATGTGATCTTGTTTCATACTTGTAGAAGTTCTGTGTGATCAGCTATTTTATAAGTAAGGAGTCTGAGAACCAGAGAGGCAAGTCCTACTTCTGATTGTAATTCAGTTCCTATCTGTGTGACTCCAAAGCTTATACACTTTTTATTCTACCAATAGAGTTCAGTTCAAAGAATAGAAAAAATAGTGGCTAATTAACTTCTATAAAAAGGAATTTTTGAGTTAGCACTTTATTTTTTACAATTTCAATAGGTTTTTGGGAACAGGTGGTGTTTGGTTACATGAATAAGTTCTTCAGTGCTGATTTCTGAAATTTTGGTGCACCCATCACCTGAGCAGTGTACACGGCATCCAGAGTGTAGTCTTTTATCCCTCACCCCTCTTCTGCCCTTCCCCTGAGTCCCCAAAGTCCATTGTATCATTCTTATGCCTTTGTGTCCTCGTAGCTTAACTCCCACTTATGAGTGAGGACATACACTGTTTGGTTTTCCGTTCCTGAGTTACTTCACTTAGAATGATGAATCAGTGCTTCAATTTTAATAGAAAGGCAACTGATAGAAAAATGTATATTTGCTTTAAGGAAAAAATCCCACCAAGATAAAAGTCCAGGAAAAGATGCTGCTCATTTAATATTTCTTATGAAATTTCTAACAGGGGACACTTTGGGGACAGTATTTCTCAAAATGTTCATGTGGTAGAACACCTGGAAATAGGGATGCTCATTATGAACTGCATGAAAAACTGATATAGAAAATGTAAGACATATGTATAAATAAATAGTTTGTGCTAAATTACATATCATATGCCAGCTGACAAGCACCATTTCTAATAAAGATTTGTGAAAATGAAGTAGAATACACCACAGTGAGGCCATGCACCATAAGTTTAACAATTGTCTAAGCACATTGTGTTCTTTAGAGGCCCAAGGAGGAAGAACCCTCTCTTTAAAGCTGCATAGCACACACTTCTCTTTATCAGGGAGTGAAAAGCAGTCACTTATTATTAATTTATACTGTGCTTATGGTTGCATGTTTTGCTTTCTACACATCCGTTTATGCTGTAAACTAGTCCCATTGAAAATAGTATTGAAATAGCTAAAAGGATAATTTAGGTCAGAGGTCAGCAAATATAGACCAAATTTGACACACCAGCTATTTTATATAGTCTATAAACTAAAAATTCTCTTTTATATTTTTAAGTAATTGGGAGAATTATCAAAAGAAGAATATTCTATAACGTGAAAATTAGATAAAATTCAAATTTTAGTGTCTATATATGGTTTTACTGGAACACAGCCACACTTTTTTTTCTTTTTTTTTACACATTATCTATGGGTCCTTTCACATGACAACAGCAAAGCTGAGTGGTTGTGACAGAGACTGAATTGCCCACAGAGATATCTGGCTCTTTATAGAAAAATTGCTAAACCCTGATCTCGGTGTGTTGGACATCTTTTCTTGGCTTTGAAACCTGGTTTATTATGGTACTAAGAACTGTTTTGATATACATCTACAAACTCTACTGAACAGAAATCATCATTCTGGGAGCTGTAATAAAAATGTGGAAAGCTGAGATTCAAGCTATCTAGTTGGTGAGACAGAATATGAACAGTCCTGCATGCCTGTACTCACATGAATATCACCATAGAATCACAAGTATTAATAGCAGGACTGGGGTGGAAAAGGGAGAGAGAATATGGACCTAGCTGAGCACAAACCTGCTAAAGGGATGCAGAGCCAATGGTCACGGTAAGAGTGACTCATAGGAAGATACTTGTAGGAGAAGGAAGGAATTTTGAAGAAAGGAAAAGACCTGTTGATGAAGTAGAAAAATAGGACGTTTTAGAATGTCATACATGCTGGGGTGGGGAAGTGAAGTTTTAAGGAAGAGAGACATTATATCTATAACCAACTAAAAGCCCATTTGTTTCCTTCTAGATTTATTATGGCTGAACTACTCCAGACAGAGAAGGCTTATGTAAGGGATTTACATGAGTGCTTAGAGGTGAGTCTTCCAGTAATCCATTCACAGCTGTACTGGAAAAATGACATCCTTGCCAGCATCAAGTCCTCAACTGGAACTTGGTGCTCTTGGTCTTCTCCCAGAGAGTAATGAATTAAAAAGCCAGCCAGAGGAAATCTTTCTCCTGAAGTCAATAATAATTGCATGGGAGTTTAAAGTACTTTTGAAAAGAAAGTTTAAACTTTTCTCAGACTGGAGCTAGACCCAGGAAAAAGAAGTATATAAGGCACTTAACTCAAAATGAAACCATGACACAGTCAATGAATTTAAATTGTGCATGAAAATGTGCATCCTGTCTCCCCCACCATACACACATACTGAAATCCACACACATTTAATAAATAACAAGAGACTGTGGAGTTTGTGTTCTTGCTAAAGTTCAGGATAATGAAATATTCAGATTTTTTCTTTCTCTTATGTTTACTTAACATGTCACTTTTTCAACTCTACATGCATTTACAGTTTGAGTCTTGCCCCACAAGTTTAAACACCTGTTTATTTTGTTTGTATTTTATATGGCATGCCAGACTTGCCAGTGATGAAACTGTTACTGTCTTACAGACCTACCTGTGGGAAATGACCAGTGGTGTGGAGGAGATCCCCCCTGGGATCCTCAATAAAGAGCATATCATCTTTGGCAACATCCAAGAGATCTACGATTTCCATAACAAGTAGGTTTGTGGAGGGTCTCAGAGGTGCACACTTAGGGCCGTAAATACCAGACAATGGGGTTCCCAACAAGTGGATCAAAGGTGATAGGTGAATCTTATCTGGTGAGTGTTCTAAGGCAATTGCTGTCAGACCTCTTTCCTACTCACTCCCCTTTCTCTGTAATTGTCCAAAAGTCCTAATGGAGAGTGAAGTCACGTATTCAGCAGTGATCCTCCCCATCTCTCCTCAGCATCCTCATGTACTCATTGAGAATGAATACCTGGCTTTGAAGAAATAAAAGTAGCTTCTCCGCATTAAATCTTGTGGGAAATCCTGACATTAGAATTCATCTGAGGCTAATCAATTCCACTTTGTGGTCTTGGGATTTTGAATTCCATCGAAGTTTTCTTTCAACCTAAATATTTCCTCCATACTCATTTCAAATTTCTTGACAGCTTAGAGGGAAGAACATCAACCAACACTCTGTTTTGTTGGAATAAGTAGAATCATAGAGCCCTAAAACTTCACAAGTCATTGTTTCTAGCTTGATTTAAGAATCTTTCCCACACCATGCAAAACAATATGTTCCGTGGTTAACAGAGGATCAGCAAAAAATTGGCATGATTAGTTACATAACTAACCAATGAAAATACATAATACAAATAGAATCTCAAGACACAAAGAAGAACATTGGCATGAACTCTTAGCGCTGTCTTAGGACACTGCTGCAGAGCAGTGCTAAGTCAGGCTAGCTGAGGCATTTACTGAGTTGCGCAGGCTTGTTGGAGATAGAAGGACCATGTGTACAGGTGTAGCAGCCACCCAGAGGCAAGACTCCAGAACAGCACCGTCCCGTGGGGTCTTCTGCAATGATGGACATGTTCTACATCTGCAGCGTCCAGTACAGCAGCACTAGATATGTGTGGCTAATGAACACTTGAAATGTGGCTAGTGCTACTAAGGAATGGAATTTTCCATTTTATTTAATTTTAATAGATTTAGATGTAAATAGACCACAAGTAACAAGTGGCTGCCATATTTGGTATCTCAGCTGTAGAATAGCCCTGTGCTAAGAATGACCAAGAGGCAAGCAAAAATTGGGTGTAAAGGGATCCTGGGCTGTAATAGGTCCAGATAAGGGGTGGAGAGTCATTCCCCTCTTATCAACTCCTGGTTATTAATTCCTGGTATGTCAACAGATGGCATCAGTTTAAAGAGAACATAATATATGTAGCTCCCATGACATGCAAACTTTGTCAGATTATTAAAGCAATAAACTTGAGGGGTAAAAATAACCTTTTGATTTTCTGGACTATGTGATAAAAGTTCCCAGTCTTTTGTTTTTTAATCATAAATTTTAATACCGTTCATTTGGTTTATCTGGAAATTTCCTGACATAGAAATATCATGTCCTCATGCTTATCATTGATAAGATCCCAATAAAACTATTTGACCATTGATCCCAAATTCCATCATCTGAGCCCAGCTCAGTATCTTCCCATCTCCCTCAGGATATCTGAGAAGACATAGGACTGGCAAATGGTAAGTCATGTTACTTTGCTTTTCTGCCTTCTGGTCTCTTGGATTTAGTCAACAAGTCTCACTTTTCCCATATTCTTAGCAAACTGACTAAATATGGAAGCCTAGAGATCACAGCATACACTTCCTGGGAGCTATATACTCGCCAATCATTCTATAAGGGGAATGAATATATGTTTCAAAATTGACCTCTTGTAACAAAATAGCTAACATAATCATGCCTTATTTTGTTGTCATGATATCACTGGTAAGCCATGGTAAATAGTTTTGTAGTTTTCTTAATAGCTTAAAATCTGCCTACCAGTTACAACATATAGTTCTAAGAAATCCTTTTAAAAAATCAAATTAAACCATAGAGAATGCTCTATGGAATAAATCCAGACTATCAAGAACACTGCTACCCAGCACATTTAGAACATTATGAAGAAACAGGAAGAAAATAACAAGTAGCCTCTCAACAACCAGAAGAGATGTCACAAAAATTAAGTTCTTACGTTTTCATAGAAGCATCTTTCTATCCTCCCTAACAACTACTTTACCTCTTGATTATATAGTTTGGAGGCCCACAGCAATTTAGAAACAGCAAATAAGATTCAAGAACTTGAGCGAGTAGTGGGATACCAGCAACATAAAGAAAGACCTGACAGGAAAGAAGACAGATAAACTGCAAAAACAATAGGCAATAGAACCAAAAAACATCACAGTGGTCAAGGGCTACTCATTATTGATGCAAATCATTCTATATTCCATGATAGGGCCTAATACAGCCACTGTGTTACAGCATAGCAAAATATTTAATATTAATGGTAACCTTGAGTCATTAATATGTTCTGCACTAAAGGAAAAGAACTCTAGTGCATTTAGAAAGCTATTGACCAAAAATAAATTAATGGTTTAAATTATCCACAATTTAAGGGAACATCTAAGAAAATCTAGCTTCATGTTAATTTCCTACAGGATCTGTGGACTGAGGCTTTACTACACTCATAATGTATGCTTTCTACTTGTGTCATGCAAATTTTGATTAATGAAGAAAATATAACACCTCTAAAATCTCTAATAAATAAGAGATAAAATGGCAGTTAGCCATCTTAGAAAATGCAGGAATTGTAAACTCTAAGGGGCAGTTTAGAGAGGAGAACATCTTTCACTGCATAATCAGGTGCCTGGCACAAAAGTAAACATTGAGTAAATGTTTGTTTGATAGGTGAATGCATGGATGAATAAACTAAAATTAAAATTACAATTTGAAGACTTAGAGTTAACACCATTCAAGTCATAATTTAATCTTCTGTTTGTAAAAGCCCTAAAACAGAGAAGACCATTAGGTATGATTTTTCCCCCCATCACTATAAGAACCGTCTGGAAGAGCAAAATCATTTAATTTCTACATGATGCAGTTTCTTGGAAGCTTCTTACTGGTGGACCATACAGTTGTCCTAATACTTATTTATTCTTCAGAAATACTTCTCAGAAATGGTCACTTCTCAACATGAAAGAAAAAAATCAAAGGGTATTTTTTAACCCCAATTGCTTGTATGATTCCAAAGTTGCAATTAAGCACTGTCTAACAGAAACATGCTCCTCTCATTTCTAGTGAATAGCTCAGGTTATGTGCCTGTAATCCAGAGACAGCCTATGGGAGGGAGAGCAGGAGGGAGGAGTATTGAGTGATTGAGAGATTGAGAGAGAAAGGGATTGAGAATGACACTACCTTGCTAACTTAATTAGCTAAGTCCCTAGAAAATTAACACCTAGACCAAGGGTTATGTGGTGAATACATGTCTTAGCTAGGTAGTATTGATCTGTCTAAATGGTGTCACTTTGAAAAATTGCAACCAGAGTTAGTTCTTTGTCTTGCTCTGTGTGTGTGTTTATGTGTGTGTGTGTGTGTGTGTGCGTGCACGCGCGTGCATGCTGATCTGTCTGTCTTAAGGACCTTTGTCTTTATAGAGTAGAGGCGGGTACAAATGGAGCTCAAAGAAAATAGCCTCAGTTGGAGAGTAGGAAAAGCTTCCTGGAGAAGGGGGCATTTGAGATAGAATTTAAATAAGAGGGGGGATTTTTACAGGCAAAGACGGCTTCCTTGATGATGGAATAAAGTTTGAACAAAGGCCCTGAAAGGGAGAAAAGTGGTGAAGTCTAGCAGGGAGCTGGAGAGAGGCAATAGGAAGTTTGGGAGTGGGGCTCCGTCCTGGGTCATGGGAAGCAGACAGAGGTCCCACTGTCACACTCCCAGGTAGGTTGCGTCTTATCAAACCATGTCTGTAAGATTGAGGGAGAGAAAGGAGAGGTGATGGGCAGAGATAGTGCAAGTCGGAAATGCGGGGAGAGACAAAAGGAGGAGAGAGAGCTATGTGGATAGGGGATAAGTGAGAAAACAGTGAAGTGGGCAGATCATAAGGAGAAAGGAAGAGATAAAGGAGGAGGAAAGTAGGAGAGCAAGAGGGAGGCAGTAGTGGGGAGAAGGCAGATAGGTAGGTGGGGTAGGTAGGCAGGGAGGTAGGTAGGTAGGTAGATCCATCTGGGAAAAGAGGCACTAGGAGAAGGGGAGGGAAAGAGATAGTTAAAGACCTAGTCCTTCCCAGAGTTACCATCTTGTTGCAGGAGAAAGAGCAAGGTGGTGTTTTTCAAACCATTTTTATCATGAATCAAAAAAGACTGTACATTATGCCCTGTTATATACATGCATATATACTATATATAACAGGGAAGTTAAATTTTGAAAAACAACACGTGCATTTTGTGTGATGCACTGTGATATTCTGTATTAGGTTCTATTTCTTCCTCCTCCTCTTTTTTAAAATTCTGGTTGCCACCCATTTGATCCATGGCCACATGGTGAGGCGCTGGCACCACCAGGTGGTGAGAGAAGGGATGTGCAGCTCAGGCCCCGGGGGAAAGGCCACCCTGCCAGACTACTGCTTTTTCCTCCCTCTTTGCCCCTCCTACCCCTTCCCAACACACACACCCTTGCTTAAAATGTGCATGTTCTATGCTTTCTAAGCTTCCCCCACTCCAAATGCCTTTGATATTAGTGGTTTCTCACTTATAGAAAATCATAGAATTATCATATATAAAACCCTGAAAGAAATCTTTAAAGATAATATAGTTCTCCCTTGCCCTATAGAAACTGAAACTTAAAAAGGTTTGTCATCTGTCCAAACCAATTAGTGACACAGCTGAAGAATCCAGCTGTCATTTTCTTAATAGTCAAATCTTAAGGAAAGAGGAATGGGAAGACCTGTTGTGATTTTTCTTTGGTTCCCCAAACCCACATTTGAAGAGGTAACTTGCAGAACTCATCAGAGGAGCCCTATGCAAATGTAGCTGTGGTCTTGTTACTGTGTTTTTGTTTGCGTTTTCAGCAAGCTGTCAACATTGGGGCTGATTATTGACATTGGGGAATACCCAAAGCAAGACAAAGTCTAAACATTTTGTTTGGATGTATCAAAGTCATGTTAATTTTAGTTTTACACAC